GAAATCACCTGCTAGTAGATTACACACTATCTTCTTGAAAATAGTTCCTCAAATCACAGTATCAAAGAACACAAGGTGGACATTCAAACAGGGAGACTGCAAACAGCTGTGTTCAATGTTCCAAAAACATTGACAAAGTCAGCTATTTAACACCCCCAAACACACTTGCTGTTATATCCGTTAGAGCTCTTTTTCTTTTTTTTTTTTTCCCTCTCTTTTTTACAACAAAATTTACACATCTTGGATTTTATTACTCCTTAGTGCTTATTACTTTCTTTGGGGGGGGGAAGAATACAGTCAAATATGGCAAAACAAAGCTGTCAGTCAATACCAAGGATAGACATAGCACATGGTGTAGAACAGAGTACAAGGTTATCAACAATGGTTATCAACGTTGTCCCTTGTTTCCTTAAAAAGAATTGTCTATCTTATTAGATATTATAAAGTTGGACAAAACAGTAGAGAACAAGACCAATAAAACTTAGGCATTGTAAACATTACAGGACTTCCAAAGAAGACAATAGTCAAACCAGAATGGGTATCTTAGTGAATCTTATTGTCTTCAAAGTAGTTGCCTATGTCTTCAAACTTGATACTATCATATAGAATGGAACAGAGTCTAATCAGTCAAAACAAGATCGTGGGAGTACTACAGGACTTCAAAACAAGTTAATAGGAAATCAAAAAGAGTTACTATTTATATATCCTAATTTTTTTGAATTTTTTCTTTAATTAAGACAAACATAAGAAATGACTAAATAATTTTTTTTTGAAACAATAAGGGGGAGATTGAGATAAAACAGGACATAACAATATAACAATAGAGGTCACAGCATGACTGTTTCAACAACCTAGTACTTCACCACCTTATAACCTGACTTAATAGTAGTTACCATAGTGTCTTTTTCCTTGAAATATTTGGATAAAACTTCATATACTCTAGCTTCAAATATTTTCATATCAAGAAGCCCAGAATAAAGCCTTTCTAATTAATGAGTGAAAACTTTATAAGGCTTCAAGGCCACCTAATGGGGAATCATGATTACCACATATTTTTATATATTTGAATCATTATTTACATTAGGGAAACTATTTGGTATTCACACATGCGAGATTGATTTATTTCACTAATGAGTATGGTCTCAAGCTGCGCCCATTTATTGATAAATATCTCAATGTGATCCTTCTTTATAGCTGAATAATACTCCATTGTATAGAAATACCACAACTTTTTTATCCATTCCTCAGTTGATGGGCACTTGGGTTGTTTCCAAGATCTGGCGATTACAAATTGTGCTGCTATAAACATAGGTGCACATATATCACTGTGGTATGATGCTTTCAGTTCTTCTGGGAATATGCCTAGAAGTGGAATAGCTGGAATAAATGGGATTTCCAGTCCCAACTTTTTGAGAAATCTCCAGACAGATCTCCACAAAGGCTGTACCAGTCTACACTCCCACCAGCAGTGCAGGAGAGTTCCTTTTTCCCCACAGCCTCTCCAGCATTTGTTGTCGGTTTTCTTGAATTCTCTTAATGTTTGTTCCCTTGGGTCTCCTGCTCATAGAAATAACGTCATCACCAACTGGGAGAGGTTCTGCATGCTTGTAGTTCTAGCACTTGGGAGGCTGAGACAGGTGGGTCGCCATGAGCTTGAGGCCAGCCTGGGCTACATAGTGAGTTCAAGGCCAGCCCAAATATCATAGTAAGACCCTGTCTTCAGAGCAGATGGCCTGAAGAATGGCTTCTCTGTTTACAACACACCCAACAGGAATCTAGGGTCACTGTGACAAGGGGCACAAAACGTGTGACTTCCCTTTGAGCAAATGTCCTACACATGTCACCCACATGGCTTCTGGATAGTACAAATGGGACAAGACTTAGGAATGGGAAAAAGCTATTGCATTTAGTGGCGGAGGTGGACATTTTGAGTCTGTCCAGTGTATCCATGGATGATCTGTTGGTAGCTCTAGAAGAAAAGCCTTTGAATTTCTATTTTCAATAAATTTTAAAAAATAAAAAAGTGAAAAAAAAGACGCTGTCTCAAACACCTTTTTCATCAGTTCAGTACCCAGTTGCAGTCCCTGGCTGCCCATCTGACCCTCAGTTTGAGGGAAAATTAGCATTCAGAGGGGACCGAGAATGTCCCTCCAGACTGTACTAAGGGCTGCTGAAGGAAACTTTGGATCCCTGAAACTGGGATCCAAAGACCTAGGTACAAGTCCCAACACTGCATTTGTAGATGGAGTTAACCCGTGTTTCATTGCTGGGACATACCTGACATACACAGCTTAAAGGAAGAGAGGCTTATTTTGGTTCACGGAGCTTTCAGTCCGTGATCAGCTGGCTGTAAAACAGAAACAGCCTAGAGGGAAGACATGAAGGAAGGCAGAGCCAGAGAGGAAGGAGCCAGCAATGAGATAAACTGCCCAAATCAAGCCCCGCTAGACCCTTCCAGAAGTGCTTCTCAAGCCAATCAAGTTGATAATCAAGGTTAACCACTTTAAAAGTTGAATTTCTTTAGGTGAGTATCTTAAATTTTTCTGAGTTCCTGTTATAAAAGAAAATGTGGGAAACACATGAAAGTATTTGGAATGTGTAGTCAGTTCCCTGTTTAAATGGTCCCTACTAGTTCTGTGAACATGGTCAGTTTCTCCAACCCTATAAGCCTTGCTTTCCCTATCAGTGAATTAGAGCTAATAACAAATATTTTACAGAACTCGTGTAAATATTAAGTAGACACATGAATATAGAGTGCTTCTCATAGTGCCTAGTATACCGTGGCATTTGGTGAATAGAAATCACACATGTATTTTGTGTTCCTAGCCCCTAAAACGGCCTCCTGCACTTTTTTTTTTGTACTGGGGATCAAACTCGACCACTTTGTGCATGCTGGGCAGGTGCTCATGCCACTGAACTAAATCCCTGGCTTGGTCCCTGCACTTCATAAATGTTCAATCTCAACATCTGCTTGCTGGACAGAAGAATTTACAGATGAATAAACTAAGACACAAAGAGGTTAAGTAGCCCTTCCCTTCAGGTCCTGGCAGAAGTAGAGAAGCAGTGATGCACAGCCAGACAATCTGACTCCAAGCCTGTAGCATGCTGTGCTAGCTCACACAGATGTGGGCTTAAACATCACCATTTGTTCATTAAAACAGACAGAACTTTCTCAAGCATCCGTATGTGGGCTGGGTTGGTGCAGGAATTAGCCTCCCACCAAGAAACCAGTTTTTTTCTCCAGTCAGTCTGCTGGCAGAGACCTGCTCAGCCAGGCCAGGGCTGTTACATTCATCTTCATGCCTGGGAGAAGAAGGACTAGCTCTGCAGTGCAGAAAACAGCTGGAGCCCAATGTAAGCATGGTCCCAGCGCAAGAGGGGCCCTCTTGGTTCCACTGCTGTTCCTGCTGCCACTCCAACCTCTACTGCACTTTTATTTGCAGGGGATGGGGGAGGTGTCTCTTACATACCTGGCCTGGATGGGTTATACCCAATAAGCAACAGTTGCTATCTGGAAGTCTCAGAACTACTGCAGCAGGATAGTACACATGGAAGCTCAGGCAAGCAAATAATTAAAAGCTGAGGGTCGCAGTGTTGCGAACTCAAGCTGGAGGCCTTTAACCTGGACCCTGAAAGAGAAGCAGGAGTTTTCTAGACAAGTTGGGTCTAGGTGTCTGGGAAGCAGAGGTTATTTGGGAGAATTTAAGAGGACTGATGGTGTTGGCATCTGGGGCGTGGGGAAAGGGAAAGAAGTGGAAATGGAGTATAATGAACGAAACGAAAAACCAGGCAGTTGGAAGTTGGCTGGGGACAGATTGTGAAATACACCACCTGGAAGAGACAGAACTCTATCTAGTGGTCAGTGAGGAAAGCAGTGTAATGAATAACCTGATCCGTTTCAGAAGGTTGTGGAAGCACACAAAGGTTGGATCTGGTCAGACATGGTGGCACATGCCCCCAATCCCAGCACTTGGGAGGCCAAGGCAGGAGGATCACTATGAGTTCAAGGCCAGCCTGGACTAAATAGTAAGACTCTATCTCAAACAACACAAAACAAAAAAGTGCATCAGAAGGGGTGAGCAAAGAGATCAGTAATAACTAGTTTGAGGAAACGGATCCCCTCCAAGCTTTGTTTTGCTGTTCACAACGAGAGAAAACTTTCCATCTCTTGGGCAATTCTGAGGCTTAAAGAGAACCATAACAAGCACTGGCACAGCACCAACAATGCAAACACGCAGCCCTGGAGCTCATCACAGGCTTGTTGGCCGATTAGTGAAGCACATGGCCTTTGTTACCTCTTGGACTGGGTTTGTGTCCTGGCACGTGACAGTTGGTACGTTTTTAGTATAGGCAAGATGAGAAGCAGCCAACATGGGGTTGGATAAAAGGGTGGGGTTGCCATGTCTTGTGCCCGTGGGAGGTAGAGTGGAGCCTCTGGTGAGTCAGGATCCTTTTCTCAGACAGATCAGGAATTCAGGGACAAGTCTGACTGTGGTGTAGGACAGGAGGAGCTTGCAGTGGGCACGGGCAGTCCAGGACCAGTGCTGGTCTTTTCCCTGTCCAGGTAGGGTCAGGGGTGCCTGACCAGGGCAATGACAGGACAGAGGGGTAGGAAGTGGGCCCGGCTAGAGGCCTGGAGAACTCTAGAGAAGCAGGCCTCCCCCTCGAAGCCAGGCAGGGTGAGCTGGAGGACGCGTAGGGTGGACCCAGATGTGCCAAGCTCGGCATGCGGCTTGGGCGGGCCCAGTTAGTGGGTGCGAGTGCGCTGCGTCCTACCCCTGGGGATGAAGGGATCCGAGCAGGGAGTGTGGAGCGAGGGAGAAAGGGAGTTGTCAGAGCGGGAAAGCGGGGATCCAGAAGGAGAGACAAGGCAGGAAGCCGGGAGGAGGCGTCGGGGTGGGGGCGGGCCGGTGGGTGGGTGGAGACCGAGGCGGGGAAGGGGAAGGGGAAAGGGAAAGGGCGGGTAGGGTGGGTGGAGAGAGGGAGAGAGGACCCGGGCCGAGGGAAAAAGGGTGGGGACTAGCAAAGGAGCCGAAGAAAGGACCGGAGCGAGCCGGGGCGCAGGCCGCGGGGGCGCACGGGACCTCGCCAGCCGGGCCGCCCCGCGGGCGAGCAGGCGCCGCCATTCCGCTGCTCGGGGCGCCGCCGTCGCCGCGCCCGGGGGCCATGCTCCCGCCGCCCCCGCGCCAGCCGCCGCCCCAGGCGCGCCAGGCCCGCGGCGCGGTGAGCCTGCAGCGGCCCTTCCTGCGCGGCCCGCTGGGCGTGCTGCGGGTCCTGCAGCTGCTGGCCGGCGCCTCCTTCTGGATCACCATCGCCACCAGCAAGTACCAGGGCCCCGTGCACTTCGCGCTCTTCGTGTCCGTGCTCTTCTGGCTGCTGACCCTGGGCCTCTACTTCCTCACGCTGCTGGGCAAGCACGAGCTGGTCCCCGTGCTGGGCTCGCGCTGGCTGGTGGTCAACGTGGCGCACGACCTGCTGGCGGCCGCGCTGTACGGCGCCGCCACGGGCATCATGATCGACCAGACGCAGCGCCACAGCTACTGCAACCTCAAGGACTACCCGCTGCCCTGCGCCTACCACGCCTTCCTGGCGGCCGCCGTCTGCGGGGGCCTGTGCCTCGGCCTCTACTTGCTCTCGGCCTTCTACGGCTGCTGCCGTCGCTGCCAGGGCAAGCAGGAGGTGGCCTGAGGCCGCCCGTGCGCCCTGCGGCCGGATCGGCGCCTGGACCTTCCGGGCCCTCCCGCCGCCCCTCGCCGGCGTGGCCAGCCCGCCACCCCTGTCCTGGTTCCCACTGCCACCCGAGCCCAGGATCCCAGGCACGCCGTCCCCGCAAACCGCAGCGCCGTCGCCCTGAGTCCAGAGCGCAGCAAGCTGGGGCTGTCGGTCTCCGGGACCGCGCAGCGACCCAAGCGATGGACGCCAAGCGCACACTGCTGCCCGGCACTCCCTCAACCCTCGGCAAAGCTCAGCGGTTCTTCTCCTTCCCTGCTGAGAGCAAGACGTGGACCGACGCCGCGTAGATCCGGGGAGGCTCCCAAATTGGAACCAGTGGCGGGGCTGCGCCACTACCCGCCTCCTTCGCGTCCGCGGTCGGAAGAGCTGCCCTTCCCCGGCCCCTCTGCAGCCTCGGTGCTTGGAAGGCGGGCAGGCAGCTGCGGGTAGAGCTGAGGGCAGGCCTCTGCCCGTCCGCGATGGGTTTAATCTGAGATTGTGTGGGGACCCTGCATAACGCCTCCCTGCCCATCCTTCGGTGCGTCGAAGTCTTTGGACGGGGCCACTCTTCAGGGGTGGGGATGGGTAGGAAAGGCCCACGGGCAGCTCTCTTCCATCTTTGGAGCCTTGGCTCCCCTCATTCTCAGTCTCTCTTCTTGTGCCTCTTACAAGCCAGTCCCAATCACACTAACTCCCCTGACCTCCAGTAACTTTAGTTTTTCCCCAGACTTCTACGCCACCACAACCCTCAGTAAGTTTGTAGTAGGGATCCCACAACACCATCACCGAATGTTAGGGGGAGGCCCATCCTCTTTTTTTACAGATAGAGCCTCAGTTCTTGGGAACAGCCAATTTAAAATGAGAGCCTTGGTCTTCAAAACACTCCCGTTTTCAGGAAAACTGAATGTTCCAGAGCGTCTAGCCCAGGGGCTGATTTTACCTAAAAGACATTGAAGGTCCAATGAGCTTGTCAAGTACTGTCTCCCCTTCTTGGAATGTGGAGATGTTCATTAGCATAGCAAGGACTCTCAGATCCTGGTCCCAGTAATTTAGTTTACTGCTATTAATACTTCTGGGTCCTGATCAGTGTTTTGCCACCTCAAAGTTCCAGGCACCTCTGTGCTGTCCCAGTTCCTGTTTGCTCCTGCAGTCTGACCTGTAAAAGACTTTGGAAACTCTTCTTTCCAAGGGAGTTTTTTTTAACAGAGGGACCCAGCTAAGTGAGGAAGGAGCTTGCTGCCTCTTGCCAGCCAGAGACCTGGGAACTGGTGAACTCAAGCATTCCCTTATATTGATGGAGAAATGAAACCAAGGTTATCCAGATGTTTTCCCAGTTGAAAGTACTGTCAGCTGTGAGAGACCCTCGGATTGACTGTGAGCTGCTGGCGTGCTCACCAAAAAGAAGACAAATCTCTGGAGCCAGGGTGAACAGCCAGCCTGCCCCTGAGGTAAGCAGTTTTCTGGTAGTGGGTGTGGATTTTTGAATAAAAACCACAGAGCTTTCTTTTCATAAAGTTAGAAAGGTTTTATTCAGAGCAAGTTTGAAGGGATGACAGTACCCACAATGTCTATAGAGTTGTGAAAATACATCCTTTTTTGCTAAATCCTTCAAAGGTCTGTCTGCTCTTTGAAAAAGCTAACCTTGTCTGGACTCCAAGCCTTAATAGGGGAGACTCCTTGCAGGGATGGAACTCAGAGTGGCATGCATATTAGGTGAGTGCTCTACCACTGAGTTACATCCCTAACCCCTGGGGGCTTGTGTTTAAAACTTAGGTGTGAAGTGTTGAGTGCTCTCCCGCCCCCCTGATGAAGTTGGTCTTTGAGATGGGGGTGTAGGGCAGGTGTGCAAGTTTTGCATGGCACGAGACATAGCCCTTCTATGTGCTTGGAACTGCTGAAATATGTTACATGTCTTCATGTATTCCCCCAATAACAATACTATTGTGATGGATTCTAGTCTTTTCCCATTTTCTGTATGAGGAAGATGAGCATGAGGGAGGTTACATAACTTTGTCCGAGATTTCATGGCTGCTGAGTGGTGAGCTCAGATGTGAACCCTGCCAGTCTGGCCTCTGTAGCATCAGGCTATACTATATATGGTGGGAAGTCAATACATGTTTGATATTGCTAATGTAGTTATTTAGATATTATTTTCCCGAGGCTGGAGCTGTGGCTCAGTGGAACAGCATGTGCTTAAGCACCCTGGGCTTAATTCCAGTACAAATTTTTTTTCTAAATTGGGATGAAATATATGAATTAGGATAAATTTATCGTTTTAACCAGTTTAGCTACACAGTTCAGTGGCAGTAAGTGCATTTACACTGTTATGCAACCATCACCACTATCCATTTCCTGAATTTTTTAATATTGCCAAACTAAAACTCTACTCATTATTTTTGTTATTTTTTTCTCTCCTCTGGCAAGTCTCAGAACGCTGAGCCCCACAGTCCCAAATCCTTTGATGTCTTGGTAGGCAGGCCCCAATGTTGTGCTCCAGGAAGAGTCACTGTTCCCTTGCTTGGGAGCAGAGATGGACCTGGCCAAAGCCTGTAGGGCCGGCCTCACTGGGCCACTAGGGTGCCCTGGAAACCTGGTGACTTTCATTCTTCTCTTGCAGGCTTCCATGTTGCTGAGGCCATGGAGATTTCCAGAGTTGTCCTGGCTGGCAACACCATTCTGGCCTGGGCCAGCAGAAAGTTTCAGTGTCTTTACTGGCAGTTGGGGCAGGTGGGAGAGGCAGTGACCTCTGCCTAGCAGCCTCCTACACCATTCAATGGAAGATTAATTTAACTTCAACCCAAGAGAATTCCTGATTCCTCTGGTGCTGTGATTTGGGCACAAGATTCCAGGCATCTGGAATAGAGCTCTGCACTCCTATACCCTTAACAGTGGGTTTTGTTTCCCATTTTTCTTTTACCTTTTTTTAGATCACCATTAAGTTGCATCCTCAGCTCAAGACCCACCCTTTCAGATCTCTTTCTTGGTCCCCCAGCCCAGGTCTGTGGCCAGGTGACCTTACTCAGGTACTCATGGTGCCTTAATCTCACTGGCTCCTCCAGCTGTGCCTTCCTGCTTGGCTTCCAGCGGCTGCAGTCCCTTCTGCCAGATATGAGAAGGATGGATAAGATGATGGCCATATTCACCCTTCCTCTCAAGGGCCTGTGCCTCGGTATGGCCACCTGATTCAGCCTAGAACTTTTGGCTTCTGGAGGTAGTCTCCCAGGCCTCCCTCCTTGACACCAGGATTCAGGTCACCCCAAGGTCATAGCCCAAAAGTCTGCGACCATTTGTGTATCTAGGTGACATTTTTGACAGTGTTCTGCAAAGGCCACAGAGAGAGACTCCTTGGGATGAGTTGGGGGCAGTAAGAGCGGAGGACTGATGTGCCTTATTCAGTAGCTTAGTAGTGGTTCCATTATGCTTTTCTCAATAAAATGTGTCGTATCTCATCTTGGGCTTTGTGTCTTTTATTCTGGTCCTCCAAAGTAACCTCTGTGCCAAGTCTCTCCCAGGTTCCCCAGTGTCCTTACGCCACACTGCCCTGCAACCCTTGCTTCTGTCTTCCCTTCTCCTTCTGAGAGAAGGGAAAATGAATTTACAGACTTCAGTGTGGTTAGGAGCAGCGGACAGGGGTTGTCTGAGGTCAGGAACCAGAGGAAAGAAAACTGTCCCTGGCTGAGGCTGGAGGGAATTCCAGAGGCTCCTGGCTTGGCTTTCAATGAGCCTCTGTTGGGAGCTTCACTCCCTGTCCTGCCAGCACAGTGTTAGACCACGGAGGTAGAAAAGCCCTGTTCTAGTCTAACTACCATTTTACAGAGGGGAAGCAAAGTCCAGGGCACCAGGACAACTTGCCTAATGCCTTATAGCCAATTTGGAGCAGACTTGGGGCCCCCTAAGGGGCCCCTTAGTCTCTTTCCTGTAGAAAGAGGCTTGTTCTGTGGCCCTGGTTTCCCTAAGGTGGTTTTCCCAGCCAGCCTTTGCCTGCTGAAGTGCTCTGGGAAGGACCCAAGGGCAAAGGCAAGAGGCTTCCACGTCCCTCCTCTTTCCTGTGCCCTGAGCCTGATGTCTTCAGTGAGGAAGCAGCAGGTCTCAAAACTTACTGGGAACTGGTCCAGGGTAGGTTCTGCTGCTATATGTGCTCTGTATCTACTGTTGTAAAGAATACTCTGTAAAGAATACTCCCAGGAAAAATACAAAAACATGAATGCATAACACTCCACAGCCTCTTTTTTGTGGTTTGGTATTTTTAGGATGGAGAAAGTACCACCAACTGCTGAGTTCCTATTTTACTCCCCGCTTCTCTCTCCATTCTACAAATTTCATGCAAAAAATTTTAAATGGTGCAGCTTTGTCCAAAAGCTGGTAAACCCCCTGCTTGGCTTTAGTTTGGTGGAGCATTTTACAACTGGAAATGTGCTTTTACCTGCATTATCTTATTTGATAGTTGCAGTAGTATCAGATTGGCACTGTTACTCATGATGCGGTAGAGGAAATGGAGCCCCAGAGAAGGAAAAGGTCTTATCCAGGGTCACACAGTAGTCTAGTGGCAGGACAGATGCTGGAGACAGATGTTCTCTTAAGCCCTTGTGGGCCTTTGCAGGATTAGAAATCTAGGTGGATTCTGGTTTTCTGTCCTGGAGACCAGGTGTTCAGGAATGGTCTAATCTGGCATTTCCTCTCTCTCTAGGGATACAGCTTGGTGTGAAAGTCCCGGTCCTGCCGTCACTAGTCAACTAAGTAACTAAATAACATTTTCTGGCATAAAAGGAAAAAGGGATGGGAAAGAAATTTCTAGTGAGTATGATTTATTTGTGTTTCATTTGTTGCAAGTTATTTTTGAACTAACATAGTAACATACAGTGTATATATTAATATATGATAGCAATATATACCAATTTTTAAAATGCAAAAAAAAAAGTTGGGTTTTTTTTCATACCAGGAATCAAACTCACAATCTTGCACTTGCCAGGCAGGTGCTATACCACTGAGCTAAATCCCTAGCCCGCTAAAATGTAAAGAAAAGTTTGCAAAGTAAAAAGATAATTCATGGGACTAGGGATTTAGCTCAGGGGCAAAAGTGCCTGTCTGACAAATGTAAGGTCCTGAGTTTGACTCCTGGTACTGAAAAAAAAAGAAACAAGCAAAAGATAATTCAATCATTCTAATCTAACATCCTAGAGATAAAACCATTAACTATTTAAATCTTTTAAAAATAACTAATCAAACATATAAAATGAACACACATATATACACATGTAGATTCTCCTACAATTTACTTTTTAAGTTTGATGATATCATAGGTCTATTTTTTTCTGTATGTTCATACATAAACAGTAGTCAGGGACTTCAACAATTCCTCGGTGCTCCTGTTCAATATAGTACTTGAAACATTAGCCAGAGCAATCAGGCATGAGAAAGAAATGTCAATGCATCATTATTTGCAGATGACATGATACTCTACAAGACTCAAGACATTCAACTAAAAAACTACTAGAAATAACTACATTCAGCAGTACAGCAGGGTACAAAGTCAGCACACAAAATCATAGAGCCTCTACCCACTAATAATGAACCTACTGAGAAAGAAATTAGGAAAGCAATACTATTCACAGTAGTATCGAGAAAAATTAAATCCTTAGGAGTTAACCAAAGCAAAGATGTGAGAGGCCTCTACAAAGAAAATTGCATCACTCTGTGTAAAAGGAGACTGAACAGAACATCAGAAAAAGGAAATATATTCCATGTTCTTTGATAGGCAGAATCAATATACTCAAAATGGCTGACTTCCAAAACTGATTTGTAAATTTAGCACAATCTCAATAAAAAATACCAACAGCATTCCTCACACATCTACTGAAAACAATCCAAAAATTCTTATGAGAGAGAAAAATCTCTTATCATGAGACCCAGAATACAAAAGCAATTCTGGGTAATAAGACAAAATGGGAGGAGTAATAACCCCAGACTTGAAGTTATAATATAAAGATACAGTGATTAAAAACAGCATGATACTGGCATAAAACAGATACGTAGCCAGGCGTGGTGGCACACTCCTGTAATCCTAGCACTCAGGAGGCTGAGGCAGGAGGATTGTTGCAAGTTCGAGACCAGCCTGGGCTACAAAGTGAGCCCAAGGTCACCCTGAACTGTGTAGTGAGACCCTGTCGTGAAAAGACAAAAAAATAAAACAAAACAAAACACCCAGATACGTGGATCAATGGAACAAAATGGAGAAACAGAAATAATCCCAGGCATATGCTGATATTTGATCTTTGACAAAGGGGTCAAAAACTTACTAAAGGAAAGAGAGCCTCTTTAATAGTGCTGGAAAGAGGGGCTGGCGGTTTGGCTCAGTGGCATATGCGCCTGCCTTAGAGGTGTGTGGTAATGAGTTCCATCCCTGGTACTGATAAAAAAGAAAAAGACAAAAACAAAACAAAACAAAACAAAAATAGTGCTGGAAAAACTAGCTATTCATAGATGACTGAATCTAGATCCATGTATCTCACCCTATACAAAATTAAAATAAAAATGGATCGAAGATCTATCAAAGCAGAAAAAATCTGCTAGAAGATAAAACAGATAAAACTCCTGAAGACATAGGAGTAGGTAAGGACTTTCTGAACAGAACCCCTGAGAATCAACAAAGGAGATCATAACAAGATAACAATGTTTCTGCATAGTCAAGGAAACAATTAACAGAATGAAGAAACAACCTAAAGAATGGGAAAAAAATTTTGCCAGCTGTTCATTGGACAAGGACTAACATTTAGAATATATGAAGAACTAAACAAAGTACCCTCAAATAAAAGACCAATCAAAAATTGGCAAACAGAAATGTATAGACTCTTCTTAGAAAAAGTATAAATGGGCCATAAATACACGACAAAATGTTCAACATCACTGACCATTAGAGAAATGCAAATTAAAACAACACTGAGATACTATCTTTTTCCAGAAAGAATGGCTATCAATAAGAAATCAAATAATAACAAGTTCTGGTGAGGCTAGGGAAAAAGGAACTCTTCCAGAATGATTGATGGGGATGGAAACTAGTACAATCACATGGAGAACAGTATGGGGATTCCTAAAAATAAAAATTCCATTTAACTCAGCTATTTTCCTTCTAGATACCTTCTCATGCTTGTAGTAGCACAATTAAGAAGAGCTAAATTGGGGCTGGGGATTTAGCTCAGTGGCATAAGCACCTGCTTTGCAAGCAGGCAGTCATGAGTTCGATCCCTGGTACCAATAAAAAGGAAAAAGACAAAAAAAAAAAAAAAAAAAAAGAGCTAAATCTTGGAAACAGCCTATGTGTCCATTAACAAATGAGTGGATAAATAAAATGTGATGTTTATACACAATGGAGTACTGCTCTTCCCTAAGGTTAAAGCTTGGCGGTATTTGTAGGTAAAGGGATGCAGCTCAAAACCATAATGTTAAGCAAAATTAACACACAAGTTTAAATGTGACATGGTTTTTCTTACAATGGAAACTCAAAATATAAATGAAGAACAAAATAAAAGATAGATAATAGGAAGTAGGTAGATCTTTTTCAAACGGGAAGGGGAACAAAAGATGGCCAGAGGGAAAAGAAAAGGAATTTAAGAGAGAATTGGAAAAAAATGAAAGTAGAGCTTTTACAAACGGGAAGGGGAACAAGAGTTGGAGGAGCAGGGAAAGTTGAGAAGGGAAGGGGACAAAAAAGAGTTAAGATGTGTCCTATACATTGTAAACTCTATCGCAATAAATGTAACCATTGTGTACTACAAACCTGTTAAAGAAAGCACCCTGGAGCTGACTGGAGCCTTTGGAACTCTTACCGTGTTAACTGCTCCTCCTTTGACTACTTCCTGCGGGGAGCTTAGTAAAGCGTTTAAAAGGAGGGCTGGTCCTTTTTATTGATGAGGAAACTGAGGCTTAGTGGGGGTGAAGTTCTTCCTCAGGTCTTTGACCTCTCTACTCCTATCCTGCCAAGAGTGGATACAAAATCAACACTCAAAAATCCGTAGCATTCCTACACACTAATCATGAAAGCGCTGAGAAAGAAATTAGGAAACACTACCATTCACAGTAGCATCAAGAAAAGTTAAATACTCCCGGCCAGTCTTGGAGAAAGGAACTCCAGGCGGTAGGATTAGTGGAGGCAGGTGGAACAGGGTGAGGGGAGCCCCAAGATGTTCTGGCTTCTGTGGGGCATGGTAGAGGGAGCTGGGGTTGGACAGAACCGACTCCATGACCACATCCCTTTTGAATTTAGGATATTGCAGGCACAAAGTTGTGCCATGTTTCCTTTTGGGGACAACTAGCTGCCAGAGACAGTTTCTCTTAAGTTTCGCGCCTGCGGGGTTCTGGCGAGATGCAGATGCTCCTGCATGCTGTCTGCAGGAGTCCTGAAGAGGGCGCTGTGACTCCTTTAAAGTCACCGGAGTCAGGCAAAGCGGGGAACAAGGAGACAGAATAAATCTTTGGCAATGCCTGCTGCCAAGAAGGTGATGAATACTTCGTGCAGCTTACTCTCTCAACCCCGTGACACACACAGGTGTTCTCTTTTTCTTTTTAGCCCTGGGGACTGAGTCGAGCCTTCAGACTGAGCCCACCCCTTTCACCTCCTCTCTGTCTCCCTGTCTCTGTCTCCATGTCTTTCTCTCTCAGCCCCACCTTTTCTTTTGAGATAGTCTCACTTAATGCTCAGGCTGGACTCCAGTTTACAGCGCTCCTGCCTCAGCCTCCCTGAGTGCTGGGACTACAGGTATAAACAGCCCAGCCCGGCTGGAGTACCGAGTTTAACACTCAGGCTCCAGGCCAGAGGGATAAACTGCCTTGCCCAGGGTGCTAAGTGGCTTAGTGACAGCAACAAGATCTGGGCAACACGCCATGCTGTTTCAAAGATTTTCCAACAGATGGGTTTTTCCCAGCCATCCAAAAACTTTATCCAAAGTTAGTCTGAATTTTGAAATATTTATATATCTTGAGCTAAAGCTGGAAGGAAAGACTGACAGGTTATACTGTTACAAATCTGAATCACCTCGGCTTTTCTACCCCAGTTCACAATGAAGTTCTAATGTTCTGTGCTGAGCGCAACTCTCTGTTCCCTGAAGACTGTCCCTCTATCTGCCAGAAATGCGAATATATGCAGACTGACCCTATACCTGACCCCCTCTTCCTTCTCCAGGTCCTGAGCCATTGGTCTGCCCACCTGATCTAACCCTGAACTTTCCTGGGTCCTGAACCCGCCACCTTTCCCAATCCTGTCTCCTATGTGGTCAGCTCAGTGTCCTTTCATGTCTCTTAGCATTTAGCACGCCTGGCTCAGATTTCCGGGTGAGCTCAGCCTGTGGCGTCAGAGGCGAGCCCAGTGTCATATTAACTGTTTGGTTTGAGGCAATTTACGAAACCTCTCTGTGGCTCAGGCTCCTCAGTGAATGCCAGGGTGTTAATGCCAACCTTGCGGAACTATGTGGAAGGCAGCGTCGGCTGGTGTTGCCAGAGCAGAGCGCCTGGCGCTTTAGTGAATGTGGTGCAGCCCGCAGCTGTGTGACGTCCCCATCCTCCTCCGGAGGCTTTTGTAAGAGTGTGTGGGTAAAATGCTAAGCCCAGAGCCTGGCCTGTCGTCACAGTGGCCATGAGTGTGAATTTCCTGCTGTCTCCCCCGTTGTGCATTCTCCCTGAGGAATGAAAATCCCCCCAGCTAAGATCCCCGTCTCTTTTTTCCTGGTACCTTCTCTGCTCTCTTCTTCTTCCCCTCCTCCTCCTTCTGTTCTCCTCTTTGTCTTCCTTCCCCCTCTTCCCCCTTTCTCTCCTTCTTTTTTTTTCTTCTGACACAGGATGGTTCTAGGACTTTCACACTAGCTACATCCTGCACACTTTTTCTTTGTTTTAAATTTTGGGACAGGCTCTTTGTAAATTTCTCAAGTTAGGCTAAACTTCTGGTCCTCCTGTTCGGCCCTCGCAGCGTTCTGGGACTGAAGGCATGTGCCAACATGCCTGGCTGCTCTGCTGTCATATGTCTTTCACTTTTCTCAGCTTTATTTCTTCCTTTCTTCTTTTTCACCCTCTTTATTTATTTTTCCCTTCCTCCCATATCCATTCCCTGTTTCCTCTGAGCCTTCTGGGGTTTTAGTCCATCTGAAGAACCGGCTTTGGATCTCAGGTGTTACAAACTCCCCTGATATGTGTTTTCAGGTCTCCCATGATTGCATTTAAACAAAAATGGATCAAAACAAAGAGGACGTTTCCCAGTAACTTGGCTTCCCTGGCCGTTGTGTATTTGGCATTTCACAACATGATTTTTCTCCCTTATTTATCTCCTCTCTGCCATCCTAGTGAACTTGCTAGGTTACTTCTTTTTTTTAGGTTTACATGTCTTGAAATTATACGAATGAACTACCTCAGAGATCTGAGCCTAGAGTGTGTATGGATTTGGTTTGGCATGACTGCAGCCATTTTGAGGCATAACTGCCATGGTTGCTCATGAATAAATCTAGCTCTCTTTCCCCCTGGGTTGTTTTCCAGAAAGCCATAAATAGATGAAAACTTTGAAGTCACATGTGGGATTTTATTATCAGACCCTAGTTCCAGGAATGCACCTGATCACTGTACTGCCTTATAATAAACCATGTGCGTTCCAGGCAGGATGAAGTCATTTTTGTCCTGACTTATAAGTATGCCCCTCTTTCTGACACAAATGGTGGGGATACAACTGGTTTCACTGCTCCCCAGGCCCATGCTTCTGTCGTAAGTCCCCCTGGCATTGCACTCTGCAGTCCTAGGTTTCTCTGCCTCGCTTTCTGTTGTTCATAATAATAGTGTTCATATCCTTTCATATTTAGAGCTTACAATTTTTTTACATTTTTATTTCATTCTCCAACCAACAGAAGAACAGTATAGATAATGACATTTGGTAGGTGAGGCTTCATTGGTAGATGGTTGCTTAGATACCTTTTTTTTTTTTTGTCTTTTTCTTATCGGTACCAGGGATTGAACTCACGACTGCTTGCTTGCAAGGCAGGCGCTTATGCCACTGAGCTAAATCCCCAGCCCTAAGGTCCTGACTTTTAAAAGTCTTGGTCTGCACGTGACAATCAACACTCTTGCTCCTCCCCTGGGAATCACTTGACCTGACTTACACCAAAGGACCTGGGAAACGTAGTCCCTGGCTGGACAGCTGTTGTCCAGCAAGATCTCTGTACCATGAGAGTGGTGGAGGAGGGTGGAGAGGAGTGCTTTTGGCAGACAGTTAATTGTCTCTTTCAGGGAAGGCACAAGGCTTTCTTGCTGAGGCTTTCATTGCCTTGTTCTGGGAGACTTTTCTTGTGCCAGTGTTTGATGAATGGCTGTTTTCATGGCTGCCAAGTGCTGCTGAGTAAGAATGTAACTGCAGACATTAATTTCCTTGCTGTGTTTGTCCAACAGCTCACTGTCTCACAGCTGGAAAGCTCATTACTCATGAGTACTTCATTTCCAGGTATGAGAATATAAAGATGTATTTATTGAATACTATTCAAGGGCAACGGGACCAAGTCATTGATCCAAGAATATACACTGACCAAATATTAAGTTTAAATTCTAGAGAAGTCAAAATAATAAAGAGAATCTAGGGGAACATACCAAATGTTAACTCATTTTAAAAATAGTTACATAAATCATGGAACATAAAATTTTATATAACAATTCCCATATTAAAGTGTACAGTTCGGTGGTTTTAGTATCTTCACAAGATTGCCCAGCGTTCACCACTCGTCAGTTCCAGAATAATTTCATCATCTGAAAAAGAAACCCTGTACCTGTTACCAGGAACTCCATCCCTACCCTTCCCTCGTCTCTGGCAACCCACATTAACCTGCTTTGTTTCTATGGATTTGCCAAGAATGGGCATTTCTTTAGCATAAGGTTTTAAACATCTGCTTATGTTGTAGCATGCATTGTGCTTCATTCCTTTTTATGATGAATCATATTCTTTTGAATGAATTGACTGTTGCTTATCATTCATTCATAAAAAACTTCTAAATTGTGGCAAAATACACAACACAAAGCTCGCCCTCTTATCCGTTGTAAGTGTACAGCTTCGTGGTAGTGAGCGCACTGATACTGTGGTGAAGCCATTAATCACCATTCGTCTCTAGAACTTTTCTCATTTTGCAAAACTTATTTTGAAAGTCTGTGCCTGGGGATGTAGCTCAGTGACACAGCGCCTGTCTGGCAAATGTAAGGCCCTGAGTTTGATTCCTGGTATAAAAACAAACAGCCAAAACAAACAACAACTGAAATTCTGAGTTCTTGAAATGATAACTTCATTCCCTCTTCCTCTAGGCTCTGTCTGACAACCACTATTTGACTTTCTGTCTCTGTGAACTGCACTATCTAGATACTTCATGTGAATGGAATCATATAGTATTTGTCCTTTTGTGGCTGGCTTATTTCACTTATCATGATGTCCTTCAGGTTCAATCAGATGTAGTACTGGCCAATGTTTCCTTTGCTTTTAAACTTGACAAACATCCCACACTATGCATATGCTGCATTTTTTTATCCACTCATCTGTCAATGGAGCCTTGATTTGCTTCTACTTTTGGTGTAAAAAATGCTGCTATGAACATGGGCATGCAAATTCTCTTTGAGACTCTGCTGTCAATTCTTTTAGGTAAAATACCCAAAAGTGGAATTTCTAGATTATATGGTAATCCTATTGTCATTTTTTTTTGGAGTAAGCAGTATATTGCACCATTTTACAGTTCCACCAACAATGCACAGTTTCCAAATTCTCTACATCCTTGTCCACACTTTTTGTTTTGTTTTATTCAGTAATTTTTTAAACAGCCAGAGTATGTGTTATGCCAAGAATATTTGGTAGAGATTGGTGTAGACTGCCAAAATGCTCAGTCTCAGGGTCTTTCTCTGGGACTCAGACAACAGTAGGGAAACAGGGCAGCAGATGCCTGTGGAAGTGAAACAGAGTTCTGTGTAAACACAGAGAAAGAAGTGAGGGATCAATTGGGAACGCTTTACAAAGGGGCTGACATTCAGCATGAATGTGAGAAGGGAGGGGGTGAGTGGAGGGGGAAATGGTATCTAAGCTGATCACACAGTGCGCAGCAGCCAGTCTCCAAGAAGGCCTCCAGGATGGCTCCAACTATTCCCATCTCCTTCATCCTTTCATATAATCTTTCCACATATGGAGTAGGACCGATCTGTAAAACCAATAGGATATTCCTGTGGAAATGATGGTATGTGATCTCGGAGGATATATTGTAAAAGATTTTTGGCTTCTTGCCTTGTTTCCTGTTGATCTCTTGCTTTGGGAGAAGCCAGCTGCCATGTCAGGAGGATATTCAAGAAGCACTCTTTGGAGTAGTCTAGCTGAAGAGGAACCAGAACCGTCTGTGTCAACTCATCAGCCATGTGAGGGCCAATGCTCCATTGTTTGGCTCTGCAATTACTGTGACCAAATACCCAACATAAACAACGTAAAGGAGGGAAGTACTGGGTCCTGATGCAGGGTGAACCGACTCTTGGTTTTCAATTCTTTGTGCCTTTGGTGAAAGAATTCAGTGTAGACACATAAGCTGCTGTGCAGAAGTATAGGTAGATACTATTATAAAGTATTATTATATTATTATAAAGTACTATTATTATAAAGTAGATATATGGAGAGTTATACCTTCAAGGGAGAAGATGGGCAGGGCCACAAAGACATCTTCACCCAGTGAAAGTCTGGACACTTTTCACACACAAATAACAAATAGGTATCCTGGAGGATCAGAGATCTGGGGTAATTACAAGGCTCATCAACATTTTACTTAGAAGTTATTCTGGAACTGCAAAACATCTTCTTGTCCTTAGCTGGTCAGTGTTATCTCAGGGACTTTAATCATGAAGGAAACTTATGGGAGAAATTTACGAACGGTAAGTTCTTCATTTCAACAGTGTACCAGCCCAAGGCAAGGGGGTCTTTAAGAACAGTTCCTTTCCTGGTATCATTGGGCCGTAGGCTACAGCAGCCAGGAATGCAGTATTCCTTGTTCTGGAGTTAGACAGCCCTGTGACCAGATATTGGGAGGAATGTGCACAATGTGTAGCCTTAAGATGTCACTGTGCCCTGTGGAGTCTGAGACCTAACAAATTATTACAAATGTATTCTATATTGAAGTCTTTCTTTAATTAACTGGCGATACATGCTACTTAGGATGCTTTTCCCTTTGTATCTCTCTGGCTCGCCAGGTCTAATTACCTGCCTAACATTAGGTTTGCACTAGCTGTTTCAGAGGTTTCAGTCCACGGTTATTCGGCTCCCAGGTAGGAACACAACGGCAGGGGGGCATAGCGGAGGAAAGCTGCTCCCTCGATGGTGTTCAGGAAGCAGAACAAAAGGGAAAGATCCAGAAGGAAATGAAGAGGCCGGGCATGGGATACACAGCACCTTTCCACGGGGCTTCCCAGTGACCTACTTCTCCCAGCTGGGGCCTGCCTCTGACAGCCCTATGAAAGCCCCTGAGGCAAAGAGCCTACCAAGCCATCTTTGATTTCCTGACCCAAACCCAGCAGACCCCTCCAAATCGTGTGAGATAATGTATGTTTGTTGTTAATTAGGACTTTAAATTTTAAATATTTTGCTATGCAGCAAGACACAGCTAATTTATCCATAAATGTGAAAAGATCTGACATAAGGAAATGGTGACAAATTAATGGAGCCTGCATGATGTATGATAATCAGAAATTTGTTCACAGAAATGCCTCCGAAGCCCCAGGAGTTCAGGAAGAGTGGGAGAGGGCGCCATCTGGTGGCAGAGGTCTGCTTAACCATTCCCCCTTTCCTTTTTCTTTGTCTCTCTCTCCCTCCCTCCCTCCCTCCTTCTCTCCCTCCCTCCTTCTCTCCCTCCCTCCTTTCCTTCCTTCCTTCCTGACAGGATCTCTATAAATTCCAGGCTGGTCTTGAACTCACTAGGTAGCCCAGGCTGGTTTAAACTTGTGGTAACCCTTCTGCCTGAGGCTCCTGGGATTAAATGTGTGAGCCACCATGCCTGACATTTCCAACTCTAGCTTGTTTTCTTCAGCACTTTTACTTCCAAGGGCCATAGCGAGTTTTATGACTCAGTTATATGGGCCATAAACACACTTGCTTATGGATGCAAAGACTAACCTCCAAGAAATGTCAAAGTAAGGAATTGATTACTCTCTTTATGTTTTCTCCCTTAGTCTTTTCCACCTATCTGCTAGACACCAGGATTTGAGACAGAATGAAGACTCAAAAATGCTAAGGAAAAGAGTGAGCCAGAACTCAATTACAAACCAAAAAACAGACAAACAAACAAACAAACAAACAGGTTAGGGTTGAAGGTGTTACTCAGTGGTGGCACACTTGCTTAGCACGTGTAGTCTTTTGGGTTTGTTCCCCAGCATTGCTATCAATCACTGCCATCAATTAATTGATCAGCCAGTCAATTAGAATTAAACTTCCAAACTTGAGTCCACCGGAATCTCTCACTACCAGGGAGGCCTTTGTTCACTGATGTTTACCATAACTGTTGTCTCTTTCTGGTCTTTAGAATTGTCTTACATCTTCCACTATTCCTCCCAAATAATGTCTACAAGTTTTAAAAAAATATTCCCCAATTCAGACAGACTCAAATAGTATAGTTAGAAATAAAAGAGCTGAGTGAAAAGTCACTTCTTTCCTCTATCCAATATTTATTCATGCTTTCATTATTCTAATGCTTAAAATGAAATAAAAGCCCAAGAGATAGCCACAGCCTAGGTGGCGCAGCATGGGTGCCAGGGAAGATTCAGTGAGAGATGCCAACGCCAGAGGGATCTGGCCTTTAAAGTTCTGAAAGCTCCCCGCCATCAAAAAACATAAAACAAAACACAAAACAAAACAAAATAAAGCAAACAAAAAGCCCTCCAAAACCCAAAGAACAGAAAACAAAAAACTGAAAGCCTAAGTTACTGGTATTCTTTTCCCTTTTCTTCTGTTGATCTTCAGTAAATGTAGTTGCTACTACTTAGCACTGGGTGTATGCCAAGCAATTCTACTCATCATACACAATAACCTGAACTGTTATTGGTCCATTCAACTATAACACAAGGAGGAAGAATGGCAAAGAACGTGAAATTTTCATTTGCAGTGAATTATTTAGGGTAGATTTTCAGGCATTTAATACATTGAAGTCAAAATTATTCTTCTAAGAAGGGAAGGATCTTCTTGGAAGAAGTCTACCATAAAGACTGGGAAAGGCTCAACCTAGGGGAGAAGAAGCGGAGTCCTGCAGACAGCTTTTGGTGGGACCACAGTGGACTTCTGAATATAGCTTAGTGGTGTGTGTGTGGGATTTGGATTGGGTTACATTCTAGCCCTTCTTGTCTGATTTCTGGGCTGGGGATGAATGATGATAGGGTTTTGAATAAAAACAACAATTGCTAACCACTTTTGAACACATATACCTGCAATTATTATTATTATTTTTTTTGTACCAGAAATCGAGCTCAGGACCCCACACTTGCCAAGGAGGCACCATAGCACTGAGCTATATCCCTGGCCCTATACCAAGAATTTATATCCATTAGCTCATTTATCATTAGCCCATTTGCCCATTAGCACAGCCTTGTGAGCTTGCTATAACTCCATTTTATAGCTGGGAAAAGAACTAAGGAACTCATCCAAGGAGAAGTCCTCCTGCCTTACTCATGTCGGGACTGGCATAGTCCAGTTAATTGAAAATGTTGACTAAAGCAAGCAGCTATAAAAAAAAATTCCCACATAGTATAAGCATTTGATTTGGAACTAATTATAAATATAGTTATAAAGAATAACATAAAGATATCCCATGAACTGTCCCCCAATGGTGACATCTTCAAACCCTTTTTTACAGAATGCCTACAATGTGCTAGATGCTGCTCCAGTTGGTTGCTGAAGAAATAGATATGAAAAATATTAGTAGACAGAGTCCTGAGAATGAATGATCCTAGGGAAAGACCTGAAGGAAGAAGGAAGGGGGTGAAAGATGGACAGCGTCTGAAGGACAATAAAACACCAAAACACCCTAGAGAGTCAGGTAGCCCAGCAGCATGGAGGAAAGCAGGACTTTGGTGTAGCGAAGAGTGACCATATGGAAGCAAAGGTAGAAACAGTTCCAACTAGGGCAGGCAGAAGGCGTAAAGAAAACGTTTGTGTGGATTTTTTTTTTCCAAGACAGGGTCTTGATATGTAGCCGGCTGACCTTGAATTCACAGCAATCCTCCTGCCTCAGCCTCCAGAGTGCTGAGATTATAGGCATGTACCACAACACCAGCTTTCACGGATTTCTGTGTCTAAGATGTATGGTTAGAAGTGTGGATTTCAGGGCCAGCTGGACAGTACAAGGCCTCAAGAAGTAAGAGGAGTTGGAATTTTGAATACAGCTGAGTCCTGGAGGAGCATGGCAGTTTTCTGAAAGGAGATACTTACAGGAAGAGATGTGGATAAATGTTTGTGTTGTTTTGAGAGGGAAGTGATTATTTCCAGCGGGGACAACTGGGGATGGCCTGCAGATATTTGACTCTTGCTGAGTGGACTGGGTTGGATCTGTACAGAAATACAGGTGTTAGAAGGGTATTCCAGGCAATAAAGGAGTCAGGAGCTCAAGTGGTATTTGAAGGTAACAATAGAGTGGTTCAATTGGCTGGGACAGAGGCTGCTAAAAACAGTATCAGGGACGAGGCCAAGAAATGCAGGTGAGATTAGGTGTCAGTGTAGGTATAGCTGGGGTGGGGGTGGGGTGGATGACACACGAGGAGGTTCAAGTCTCAGCTCCTGGTTGCTTATTTGCCATGACACTGGAAATTTCCTTAACGTATGTCGGATATTTACTCTGTAAAATGGCGATGATCCTAATGAGGTTATTGAGGAGGACTACATAATGCCTCAAGAGACTTTAGGTTGGTGAGCAGTGAATAAATAAATGTATCTGTCATTAACGCAAAGCTATTGCACGTGTAGTTTAAGGGCCATCACTGGGCTGCACAGTGTGAAGGGGATTGGGCTGGCAGAGGCCTGCACAAAATCCTGTGTACAGCAGGAGACTTAGAAGAGCATTCTCTGTTCTGTGCTGGCATATAGGACATGTAATGTTGTTCCTTTCCTGGGTTCGTCATCTCAGGGGCCCCAGTTAGCCAGGTAAGCGCCTACCAAAGTCGCGGTGGGGGAATGATGTAAATTTTTCAGTTGTGCATGCCAGAATCTCACAGCGAGGAGGGGTAGCCACAGCCAGACGTACGCTTGCAGGTTCTACATTATTTTTGGGGTCTTGGTCGCACAGTTAAGAGAGCTAACTCAAAGAGGCGCAGAGGCGCACAGGCGCAGGGCAGAACACCATGCTCACCTATGTTTGAGTGGGTGGAACTAAGCCTGGCGCGGAGGCGAGGGGCGGGGCCGGCGCGATGACGTCACGAGCACGCCGCCGCAGAGCGAATCACGTTCCGGAAGTGGTGGTTCCAGAGAAAGTGTCCCTCAGATCTGCCGCTTCTGAACGGTCCTGGGAGGCGTCGCAACGTAGAGGTTGGGTGAGCCTGAAGAAACTGTCGGCGGGACACTGGCCTTCCTGGGACCTCCGGCCGTTCCTGCCCCTCCCCCCAACCAAGCCAGCGTCCGGGTAGGTGAGGTGTCACTAAGTCCCCGCTTCCTTGTTCCCGGTACAGTGCACAGTTGGGCGTCTGGACCCCGCGGGTTGGTCACCTGCTGGATAAGCCACCTTGGGCGTGGCCTTCATCCGGCCTCCAACAGGCTTCCTGGGCTGCGGAAGTGGCGGTCCGGGCATCTGCTAGCGTCAGCCTGCTTTATGCCTTCTGAGGCTCCCACGCCCCGCCTGAAACCTATAGCCCAGAGTTTATGTGCAGAGATTTTGGTCTCCCAACAGTCCCTTTGTTGTCTCCCCACCTCCAGCTGCAATTTATTGGCTGGGACTGGCTGCGGAGTTTCCGCTTCATAGTTTGCTGCTTAGCGCTCAGGGTGGTAGGATTTTGAAAGTAGGGAAAAAGCATGAAGCTTCCTGTGGCTCCCTTCATCAAAAAAGGGAGATGGAAATGGGTGTTTTGGAAGGTATTGCTGCGATATGGGCCGGACTGGTCCATGAAATTGTAAGGAACAGAGGAGAGGAAGGATTAGAGACGATAGGGTAAGGTAGAGATGTTAGTCTTGGATGAATGTAGCTCATTTACAAATTTAGCAAGCCCTACTGTGTTCAGAAACTGTAATGAATAGAGGCCAGCCAAATAGTAGGGAGAAACAGGCAAAGACTTTCCAGAGCAGGGAATGGTGCTTAAGCTGACACTAGAAGGTTTAATAGTAATTAACTGCTAAAGAATGAAAGAAAAGCCAGGCACTGTCTTTCAATCCCAGCACAGCCTTCCAGTTTGAGGCTAGCCTGGGTTATGTAGTGGGACACCGTCAAAAAGAGGAAGAAACTATATTCCAGGACGTCATTTCTCTTGAGAGCACAAGCTTTCTTCCTCCAGCAATCTTGTGTACTTGGCTGTTGCATCTTTCGTTCTTGACAGGTCTGTGGGGGAAAGAGCTAGTGCTCTCAGATGGGAGTCTGAAGAAAGGATTTTGTGTCCCCGTAGTTCATAACTTCAATTTTCTTCTCTGTGAAATGGATGTTCCACATATGATCCACCTATCTCACTCTGTTATAGTTACCACATGAAGTAATGCAAGGAGAAGTGTGTTGGGCCTGAAAATGCAATATATACAAATGTTGGAAATTATTGTGGTTACAGGATGCAGATAGCAGAGCATGAGGGGAGTGGGTCTGAAGCGAGCCCCAGCATGATGCCTGGGGCTCTTCCGGAGTCTCCATCTGCCCCTCAAAAGACCCCAGCGTTTGATCTTTTCAACTTGGTTCTGTCCTACAAGAGGCTGGAGATCTACTTGGAACCTCTGAAGGATGCAGGAGATGGTGTTCGATACTTGCTCAGGTACAGACTTCATAGAGTTGTTTTGGCCTGCTGGGACCTTCTGCTTCCCTGCTCTGAATAGTGCTGGCTATTCAGGCAACGGTGGGGCTGTCTGATGAAGACCGTTCTGGATAGTTTATTTGGCCTCTCGATTTATCCAGGCCTACTCTGTGTCTCAGCCCCTACTCAGGAGAAGCAGGAAGTGGGAAATCATCTGGCTTTTTGACCAGGCTTTTTTGTAACTAGAAAAGTCGTGTCTTAGGACTGATAGACATCCTTTGCATTGGCCTTCTGTAGCTTTTTAAAAACTAAAATTTTTACAGTAAGATTTTATTGGTACATTTTCATTATATATAATGCTCACATTCATCATAGAGAATTTGTACTTGTATGTGATACAACTTTCTTTTTTTCCCCATTCCCCTACGCTCTCTCCAACACCTCCTCCCCTCCTCATTTATAAAAGCTTTTCCATTTTTTCTTTTTCTTTCTTTCTTTTTACTTTTTCTTCTTTCCTGGTTCCCCCCCCTCCCCACTTCCTTTGCCCTCTCCCAACCCTTTTTGGTACCAGGAATCAAATTCTGGCCCTTGTGCTTGCCAAGCAGGTTCTGTGCCACTGAGTTATATCCCTGGCCCTTCCCTCGCCATTTGAATGTTCCCTTCCTATTTCACAATACCTGTTCTACATTTTTTTTTTTTAAGCACACCATGTTATACATTATACAAAGTGTAAATCTACAAACACAAGTGTATTAAGTAGAGTTGTTTCTCAGAAGCACATTTTCCCTCCAGTCCTGAGGAGGAGGAGGAGGAATGGGGACAGGATGGTTTTCCTTATTCCATTATGCCTTTTCATGTCTTAAAAGTCTGTAATAACAGTCTCAGTAGCACAAACAATTTCATATGAAACCAGAAGCTGTAAAAATAAATTACTTTTGAAGAGACGTGGGTTCCTCTATCTGCAGCTCAGAATTCATCATGTCGTACTAAGGCCTCCCCGAAATCTGTGGCCTGGCTGCCCACAAATAAATCATACTTGTCAACAATCTCCTTCGTAAGCTTGCCATCCTTATTTTGGTCTGACTCATAGACTAGGTGCCTAGCTTCTGCCTCTGCATGGTCATAGTCTGAGGGGAGGATCCAGTCTTTGGTCTCTTCCTTGTCCATCTTCCCATCTCGGTTCTTATCTCAAAACTCAACAAACTGTCCTCACTCTGTCTTTACCCATTCTGGCTCATCGGCATTTCCATCGTGGCAGTATCCTCACCAATATATTCTTCTAGATCAAGGAAACCATCAGCATTCTTACCTATATCCTCCATTGTTTCCTGTACTACTATGTCTTTCATGTAGTCATACTCTTCAGGGTGCAGGAAAGCTGTGAATTCCTCCTTTGTGGCAATGAGGTCTCCATCCTTGTCTGCCATTTTAAACCTCCTCTTGTCTCTTACCATCCTCTGTAATTAAATCCATCATCAGGGTCTGGATCATCCCAGCCTTTCCTTGCTCTCTTCTGGTGTGAGCTGATCAAAGGTCTTTGCTTCTTCAGCACCCAAGAAGGCATCATGGTCATAATCAAAACTGAGCATCGTCATGAACCTTGTCACTCAGCTGAGGCTCATGATGTACACAGTCCTTCTTTTCTGTAGGCTTGCTCAAGGCAAAGGCTGTACACAGGGACAGGCACATAAGAAACTGTAGGTCCATGATTAGATCTGTCCCGGTGTTGACCCAGCCCAGGATACTGCGGCCGCTGTTCACCCCAGGGCTCAGCTCCACCTGTTCTAGATTTTGATCCTTATTTACATTTTTGGTTTCTTACACTAGGGAAATAGTGCTGTATTTATCCATGTGTGTATGATTCACTGGCCCTCTTTTAGGAGGGCCTTCCAATTTTAGCATAATTATTAAAAATAGGATATAATTTTGAAAAAAGTTAGATACAAATATTTATGATCAAATAGGTACCATTTTCACTAACTGCTTGGAACTATGGGTGTCTTTTTTCCCTATTCTGCTCTGCTTTCCGTTCTCTCTAATCTTTTCTTCTTCTTTCAGCTCACTTTGTTTCTTAAGTTAAAAGTATATTAAATTATGTATACCTGGCCTCTTGCTACCTGAATACTTGTTTGTATCTCTGAATAATTAAGGACATTTTATTTTATCATCAACCTCATATCTAACATAATTAATTGATTTTTTTTTTATAGTCCTATTCAGATTTCCCTACTTTTCCGCAGAAATGTCATGAAGAATTGCTTTGGCCAAATCAGGTTCCAATGCAGAACCATACCTTGTGTGTGATTAAGACGTAAGAAGCATAAGTCCCATAAATATTTCTTAGACTGAACTAATCACTTGTTTCATCCATGCTGAAGAGACTGAGTGAGCTAACTGCCTTGGAGAATTTCCCAAACTGGAAAGTAGATTTAAAAGTTAGACTATGTTCAAATAAAAAGATATTCTTTTTTGGCAAAGATAAATATTGTGTCTTTATTATTGTGTCACATTAGGAATTTCCTAAAATCTGATTGTCTTAAAGTGCAGAGGTTCTTAGCTTGGAGCCTGTTGGTGAATTTTAGGGAAATGGTATGTAAAAATTATATGTGTTCATGCACGTTGATTTTGAAGGAAAAACTTCTAGTTTTATCAGATTCTCATAAAGACTTTCAACCCTCTAAAATGCCTGAGAAGACTAGTGGGAGGCGGGGTAGGCAGAGTTAGGTTACTTCTGAGACTGCTGTTGAGTCTTCATCTTTGCCTCAGCTTAGAAATAGTGGGCCATCATCATCATCATCGACATCAGGAGACAGGGTCTTGCGGTGTTACCGGTGTTCCAGAGTCATCTTCTCTACTGTAGATTACTGTGCTCTTGGTGCAGGAGGTAGGGAGGAGGAGGACATGAGGATATGGTGGGATTGGTTAGAGCTAAAGTTAAGTGAAACGTCGCATCTAACCCCTTCTCTCCCAACTAGTGGTTTCCACAGCTGGCCCAGGGAACACTGGTCTTGAAAGTGGCTGTCAGATAAATGTGTACTTTTGATTATTCTTTTCTTAGTGAAGAGGATTTGACTTTAAAGAGGAACCTAATCTTGGGCTTTGGCTATTAGGTCTGAAGCCTGAGGCTGTAGGCAACTTTTAAAAGACTTTTTGGGATCAACTACTCCATTATGTAGGTCTCCCAGAACCAAACATTAGGAAAATGGATGAATTTTGGAAATGAAAGTGACTTCAGTGATGGTTTGTTGTTTGTATTTTAGGAGTAGGGCTGGTCTTAGATCTAGTTTCTGTTTACTCTCACCCTCTTAGCAGGGTGGTCTACTTAGAGAAACACAGGTAGAGTATTGAATTTCAAGAGAAAGGCAGAGTGTTATTTCATTCCTTTCTAATTTATATTAAAAAGTCTCCCATAAACTAATGTCGTTTAGCCAGGCCTGGTGGTACATGCCTAGAGTCTCTGCACTCAAGAGACTTCAGAGGATTGGCTTGGGTTTCAGGCTGGCCTGGGCTACATAATGGAATTCCAGGCCAGCCTGTACTACACAGTGAGATGTTGTCCCCAAACCAAACCATATCAAACCTATCCAAACTAAAACAAAACAGCAACAAACTAACCTCCTAATTAGAGCTAATCAGAGCATAAGAAAATACATTCGAGTTCTGAGTGAATTGTTTACTCCTGTTTACCTGTGTTTCTGGTGTTTGTCTATGTTGGCTCACCTTGTATATATTGACACTGCTTTAGAATTTAGGTATCAATAACTTCATTATCACATCTGTGCTCTTATTTCCCTAGTAAAAGGGACTAAGCCAGCAGTACTAAACCTCAGCAATCTGAACTTCTGGTCTTTTTTTCCCCCGCTTTTGGGAACTGTTTCATTGTCATTTGGTTCTGATGGGAGCTGTGTCTGTATATCTGCTTCTGTCTGTTGCAGTTCATAGCAGTGTGTTTGCTGAGTGAATCCTGTATTCTCGTTTCATCTTCAGTTTTTAATACATTAAAATAAAACCTTTATTGTTTTCCCTTTTTCAATATTCAAGATAAACTCTTAGATAAACTCAGACTCAAAATACAGATATAAGATGATAAAGTCACAAATGGACACAAAGAAATCCATAATTTGTTTTTTCTTAACTTCAGAATTAGATCAATTCTTAAGCAGTGGTCATAAGTTCTTACCAAGTGGTGAAAAAAAAGGGAAATATTAAAGAAGAATGTTTGTCAGTTTACCTGTCAAGGAGAATAGACCCTAATAGAACACAGGGAAAACTGGGCATAGTGTGGTGCATGCTTCTAATCCAGCACCCTGGGGAGCTAAGGCAGGAGGACTGCAAGTTGCCCAGCCTGGGTAATTTAGTTACTTAAGGAGGCTCATTCTTAAAAGTAAGAAAAAGGGCTGGGGATGGGGTATAGCTTATTTTGAAGGTCCTGGGTTCAATCCTTAGTGCTACAAAAAGAACAAACAGGTGAAACAGTATTAACCAGGCTCCTTAACAGAAACCTTCTGGGAGGAGGTTCTACAGGTTTAGTTTGCTTACTCTAGGCCTAATCTGTGACCTCTTCTGTCTTCTCTTGGTTTCCTATCCATGAGCCCCGGGCTCACTTTTCATTTCTCCATGGTTCTCTGTGCCCAGAACCCTTCCTTATCTCCTCATTTGGGTGTCCCACCTTTGCTTTTGGGGCTTCCCCTCCCAGCTGGAGGCTATCTGTTGATCAGGACTCTCTTTTTTGTAGATGGCAGACACCGTTGTGTTCCTTGCTGACCTGCCTGAGCCTCAACATTTTGTTCCTCACCTTGAATGAGGGTAAGAACTGCTTTCAGGGCAGGTGGGTTTTTGTGGGTGTCTGGTGGAAGAATACTGAGATGCGGCTGTGTTTGCAAGGGCCCTTCTTCTTGCTCTGGGTTAGCTTCTCTCTGTATCTGCTTGGAGTCAGAACACAGACTCTGGAGGGATGATTCAGGCTGAGCTGCTGGGGCAACTGTGAGTAAATTATTTAACCCAGATGTTGAGGCCTAATATTCCTCCTCTTTAAAAGAAGGATGATAACAGTGTTTTTCTCATGGGGTATTTGTGAGGAAGGAGATAGTCTCACGTGTAGCACTTTGCACAGTGCCTGGCATAGAATCAGCAGCCAGGCCAGTGTAGCTGCTACTATTATTATTGCTTCCTTTGTAGCTGATTGCTGATGAACTGACCTTTGTTCGTTGTGCTTTTCTAGCTGATTCTGGAATCACCTTGGGACATGGCATTGGGGTAAAGGTATTAGGAAAATGAGAAGAAATGTTTTGGAATAAAAATTCCATCATTTTTGCTTGTCCATCAGATAAGCCTGGGTTTCAGTTGGGCAGTCACCAGCAGTGAGGAGAGGCCTGCAGTCTTTGAGAGAGATGTGGACAGGTGCACAAATGTAGGGGTCCTAGGTGCTAATGTCTCCTGCAGACTTCCTGCTGCAGTGATGACCCACTGTTTCCCTGATTGGAACTGGCAGATAGTGGAGAAAAAAATAACCCCTTCAGGGGAATGAGTAAAGGGTCTGGGCAGAATGTTCTAAGGAGCTGGTCCTTTATATATGTATTCTTTCTTGTAATAGAGTATTCTGGAGCAATAGAGAAGTATAAAATGAACAGGTTTATTGAGTTTAGGATGTAGGAAGGAGCACACAACCCATGGCAGCTGTGCTCTCTCCTTCGGTGGAATACGGGTACGGGACATATGTAACCTTTGACTGGGGGCGGGCATTGATGATGCGTGAGGAGCTGATTGGAATTTTCTTCTCATGCACTGGGAAAGGAGAAAGGACGTTGTAATAAGGGAAGGAGGAATTGACCTCAGGGAAAACATCCCTGATTTGACCTTCCACCGCCATAATGTCCTGTAACTTATTTTAGGGTAAAACTCTTTCATGTATAGTGAACACATTCTCAAGTGTCTTCTTTTTTTGCTCTAGACATAGGGATTCAGTGGGTTGAAAATGAACCTAGTTCCTTAAGATCTCATTCTTTTTCTTGGATTGATCAAAGCTTGCCAGGAGGTTAGATTTTCCTGGTTATATTTCCAGAATAAAGCAGTTCCTATGGTAGGTATTGAACAAGCATTTACTGTAGGCCTGGTGCTCCTTACCTTGCTGTTGGAATATCATGTTCATGGAAGATGTTTCTTTAATGTTGGCCTCTATATTTCTTAATCCACAGTGTCCTACAGTACCCTAAAAGATAAAAGACTTTCAACCTGTCCTAGTGACTCAAAGACTTTAATGTTAGTTATTGTCAACTCTCAGCAGCCAGACTCCAGGCATGAGCTGCCTACTGTGTGGTAGTGGCATTCTTTTTTGGGGGGGAGGAGGGAGGGAGACCAGGGATTGAACTCACAACCACACGCTTGGAAAGTTAGCAGCATTTTTTAATGTATTGAAAATAAACCTAGAACTGGGCATAATGGCATACACCTGTAATCCCAGACTTGGGAGGCTGAGACAGAAAGATTACCAAGAGTTCGAGGTCACCCTGGGCTAGTGAGTTCAAGGTTAGCCTGAAATATAAAGTGAAATCCTGTCTCAAATAAACAAACAGCAACCCCCCCACACAAAATAAAACAAAGCAAAAAGTTAGAGCTACATCAGTGACTGATGGACAAAGTGCCAGTCCTTCTCAAGAGCTTGTATTAACGGAGGACATACTAATTTATGAAGAAAACCAAAGCTGGGATAAGGAGCATGGGAGTGTATGGGGAGATACCATGTCTTACTGGTGACCAGGAAAGATTGTTTAGGCAGAGCCCTGGAGGAGTGAGGCAGCAAGCAAGTGGGCATGGTGGCCAGGCTCCTAGGGTTTGCTTACCTGTGCTGCCTGCAATGTTCTTGGTCCCATAGGTGCCTGGTACTCGGTGGGTGCCTTGATGATTTCAGTGCCCGCCCTGCTGGGCTACCTTCAGGAGGTTTGTCGGGCACGGCTGCCGGAGTCTGAGCTGATACGAAGGAAGTATCACAGTGTAAGGCAGGAAGACCTGCAGAAAGTTCGCCTTTCCCGCCCTGAGGCCATGAGTGAGGTGAAGAGCTTGTGAGTATGGGAAAGCATAGGGGATGGGAACAATCAAGCCCAATATGAGAGTAACAGCGGCCATCACACTAAGCCTGTGGAGTATTCAAGTGGCTGTATGGGGAATCTTGTTAACAGCTCTGCACAGTGGCTTCTGTTCTTATCCTCCACTTGTGATTGAAAATGAGAAAGCACCTGCCTTGCAAGCAGGCAGTCGTGAGTTCGATCCCTGGTACTGATAAAAACGAAAAAGACAAAAAAAAAAAAAAATAAAATAAAAAAAAAAAATAAAAAGAAAAAGAGAAAGTGATGAGGTTGGGTGGCTAGGCTCCAGATTCAGGTATTTCACAGCTGTGTTCTTTTTCCTAAAGAGATGATCTGGAGTCGTGACTAAGCATGTGGCTGCAGGAGCCATTATCTGGGTTCAGATCCCATCTCTGCCACTTGTGTAGCATAAGACAAGTCACTTAACTTCCCTGCACCTGAACAGATTTCTTATCTGTTAAATGGATTGATAGGGCTCACTTACAGGGTGGTTGTGAAGATTGCTTGAGTGTCAGGTACTCAAGAAGTGCTCAGTACATGTTAGGTGTTTTGCTGCAGTTTTGAAAAGACTTAAGAAGCATCTTAAGACTGTTGAGGAACATTAACTGTGATGACTTCAGGGGATCTGTGTAGGCATTTGACCAACAGTAGGAATAAAAAATGTAACAAATGAATGCTGGGGCCTGACCAGAAATTCTGAGTCACTGGAGAGGTGATTGCACTCAGTATTGGTTGTTTTTGTTTTAAAAAATCCTTTAAATTTCTAGGGCACACAAAAAAAATGAGCAGGAAGTAGAGAGAGTTCTCATATCCTCTTCCTTTTACCCAGATCTCTTGAGCTTCACCATTGTCCACCACAGAGATACATTTGTTACAACTGGTGAACCTACATTAAGACCTGATGTTCACACAGTGTCCTTGGTCTACATGAGGATTTCCTCTTGTACATTTTGTGTTTTGACAAATGTAAAATGACATGTATCCATTGTATCATACAGAGTACAATCACTATCCTCAAAATCTTAAAAAGTAGGGACTATTTCATGAATTTGCATGTCATCCTTGGGGAGGGACCATGACAGTCTTATTCCAATTTTAGGATATGTGCTGTCGAAATGAGGACTCAGTATTTTTTAAACAATTTTTATAAAGTTTGAAATAATTTAAATTTACAAAAGAGGTGCACAAATACTATAAATAGTTCCCATATATGCTTTAACCAGATAGAAAATTATTCTCTTTTATAGTTACTGTACTATAATCAGAATTAGGAAATTTAACATTTGTAACAGTAACACTAGTACTATTATCATATATATGTATATTTCATAATCACATTATAACAGTTTTCTTAATAAAGTTTTTTTCCCTTGTCCTGGAATCATACCTAGGGTCTTAGACATGCTAAGCATGTGCTCTATCGCTGAGCTATACTCCCAGCCCTTTTTAATAAAGCTCTTATTGTCAGTTTGCCTTCTATCAGGATCTAGTTTGGGATCACAGATTACACTGAGTTTTTCTGTTTTGTGTTTAGCAGTGTGGGGATGGAACCTGGGGCCTTGCATGTGCTTTACTGAGCATATCCCCAGACCTTAACTTTTAGCTTTTACATCTCTTTAGTCTTCTGTAATCTGGAGCAGCTCCTCAATCTTTGTTTCTTACAACCTTGAAATATTTAGGATGGGGGCTGGGGGTTTAGCTCAGTGGCATAAGCGCCTGCCTTGTAAGCAGGTGGTCGTGAGTTCGATCCCCAGTACCGATTAAAAAAAAGGAAAAAGGAAATATTTAGGATGGCTTTTTATTTTGTAGATGCTCCTCAGTTTTGGTTGTTTGGTTCCTGATTAGATTTAGGTTATGGATTTTTGGCAGTTCTATTACAAGGGATGTTCATTGTCATGACTTCCACATGGACCTGTGATGTCAGAAAATATTAACAGATCAATTGTTTAAGGTTTCTTCACTGTACATTATTTTATCTTTCATTGTTAGTAATCTAAGAGGAAATACTTTGAGATTACATTTTGTTCCTAATCAGACATTCACCAACTGCTTTATTTTTATTTATTTTTAGACAGGGTCTCAGCGTTTCAGGCAGCGTTTCACTGCATAGCCCAGGAGTTCATTGTCCTTTGCCTCAGCCTCCCAAGTGCTGTAATTTCAGGCATGTGTCATCTTGCCTGGCTCACCCACTGCTTTAAAAACCATGTTAACCAATGTTAACCATTGATTAACATGTTCACGATGGGGCTGTTGTTCGTATGACCTCGCTGCTGAGTGGTTTGTACCAGTGAGAGTACAGACATGACTGTCCCATTGGGTGGTTTGTACAAATGGCTCTAATCACTTGTATTGATCTTTTTATTAATAAAATTAATAACAGCCACCCAGCGGGGCAGTCATGCTTGAATCACTGTAGTTCAAGTTAGTGGGAATGTTAATTATGGTGGTTGCAGAGATCATTGGCTGTTACTTCATCTACTCTTGACTGACATACTAAGAGGAGAAGGAGGAGCTCTTTCTTATTTATTGTTAGTGTGCACTCAGAATTTATTTTATTCAGTGGGATATAATCTGTCACTGTCATTATTTATTTTGATACCAAAATTTGGCCAGTGGGATGGCTTTTGAGCTGGTTTTTGTGTTCTTTCTATATATTCCCATCATTTTTCAATGCTTCCTCATCATTTTCAAGTACAATAGGATATTTAAATTCACTTAATGTCTTCCCTGTCTCAGCTCTAGAAGCATTCATTTCTCCAAGGAGTCCTTCAGGAACCTGCATCTGGGTGTGGGATGCACTCAGCGGTATCTTGGGTACATCCACATTTGAAACAAAACGAAATTCCGCAAGGAGGCTTGCCTTACATTCCAAGTAGAGAAACCATGGTCTGCATTCTGCTGTTGATTTGCACAGCTGCTGTGCTGTGGGTCTTCTGATCCTCATTTTTCAGATGAAAAAACTGCAGCCCTGGAAAGTTTAACTTTCCTGAGCAAGCGAGACCAAAGACTTTTAGCTGTTCCCGCTTCAGTGGGGGGCTTCAAAGAGAGGGCAGAGACAATTGTGGAATGGCTTGGCTAGGCCTTACTTCCTATGTAACGGATCCAGCGTGTTACAGAGGTTGGCTTTGCCTCTCCGGAGCTTCCATTCTGCTCACCCACAGAAACTCCTGTATTTGCAGCTTGATTCAGTTGGAGGCCTTTTTGACCCGCTTGTGCTGCACCTGTGAAGCTGCCTACCGTGTGCTGTACTGGGAAAACCCTGTGGTGTCCTCACAGTGAGTGGCCCTCCTCTCTCCACAGCTCTAGAAGTTTGCAACTTAAAAACACCCTAAGCACAGCCAGCTGTTTTAAAAGGGCTTCTGGTGCTCCTGTTTCAGAGGAAGAGCGTGTAGATCTGTGTTGTGTGCTCATGGGCTCTACTGTATTGCTTTTGTTTAGGTGCTTTTAAAAAAAAATGTAGTAAAAGGACTTTAATAATAGATAACTTACCATGTAATCTGTCACAAAATAGCTTCTAGTGTTCAGCTTGCCTTGTGGAGTTGGTCATATGTGTATGCTCTATGGATATACAGCTTCATAATGTGAAGTTCCTTTCTATTTTTTATTACATCTTAAGTGATTTTTCTTGTTGTTACAAAGCCCTTACATTATTTGTAATACAAAATTAATATAGACTAAGACTTATAAGCCATTGTGTTACATGTTTAGTCAATTTCTACTTTTCATTACTATCTCTACAGTGAGTATATTTAGCTTTAATCTTTTGAAGTTTTTTTCTTAGAATAAATTCAAGGATAAAACTACTAAATCAAATGGAATAGATGTATTGAGACTTTTTTTTTTCTTCCAGTGGTACTGGAGAGTGAAGCCAAAGTCTTTGCCCTGAATTACATCTACACTTCTTTCCAATTTTAAGACAGGGTCTTGCTAAGTTGACCAGGCTGAACTTGAAGTTGTGATCCTTCCGCTTCAGTCTGCCAGTATACTGGGATTACAGGCATGTGCCTCCATGCTCTATGAGGCTGTATATGAGAGTCATAATTAGGGCTGTTAATTTATCTAGTCTTTACTTAGTGCCAGGCACTATGCTTAGTCAATACTCTAAATAGTGTCTTACTCTCCATGGTAGTCCTGTGAGTTGGCACTGTTTTAATTTCCATTTTTCACATAAAGAAGTGATGTTCAGGGAACCAAGGAATGTGACACAAAGAAAAATGACAGATCTCAATTCAGATTCAGTCTGGCAGGATGTGGTAGTACATGCCCGTAATTCTACCACTCTGAAGGCTGAGACAGGATTGCCACAAGTTTGAGGTCTGCCTTGGCTACATAGTTAGTTCAAGGCCAGCCTGAAATACAAAGTGAGGGCCTTTAACCAAAGGTGGTGGGGGATCCAGATCCACTCTACCTCTTGACTTTAGAGTCGAGACCCCGAGAGCAGTGACCATTGACCAGAGCCTCACCAGCATCAGTTGTTAGCAAACAGTGACTTCCAGGTACCTTTGAATTTTTCTCATCACTGTTGCATTTTTGATTAGCTGGTTTGCTGTTTTATTAAGTGAGGCAAAAGCTAGTTTTCACCTGGACATCTGTGTGAGTGCTCAAACCTGTTTCCTTCTGACTTTGGGAATTTCTGATCTTGTTTTTCTTTCCTCTGTCATTCAGGTTCTATGGAGCGCTTCTGGGCACAGTTTGCATGCTGTATCTGCTGCCACTCTGCTGGGTACTGACCCTGTTAAATAGCACACTCTTTCTGGGGAATGTGGAGTTCTTTAGAGGTAAGCCCTGGGGAGCTTCCCAGCTGGAGCCCAGACTGGCTCTGAAGACCAGTTTAGGCTCCCTGGTTCTCACTGTCCAGCTAATTGGCTGTTCGCTGTGTCTTCCGCAAGGGGGCAGCACCACACTAGGGCTACAGTGAAAGTCTGTCTCTGAGATGTTAGGAGAGGCTCCCACAAAGAGGTCCCTTCTCTGTTCTCAAGGCAGGAGAATCATCCACAGATATGCTGGTTTCTGGGGGGTGGGGGAAGGTGGTGTTTTCTGAAACCTGTCACCTGGAGTTTTGTGATCTCACAGTACCCACTTGATCTCATCTCTTTGTGATACCCTAGTACCCACCTGCCTTCTGGCTTCTGAAGTGCTGAGGGAGTCTGGAGTGGCCCAGGTGGCATGGTAGAGGTTTAGGCCTGTACATGTGTTTGGATGATGCTATATTTGTATGGTAGTAATAGAAGTCATAATGAAATATCTAGCAATCTGGGGTAGGAGGCGATATCTCTGTTTTGTTCACAAAGTTTAGGTTAGGTGACTTTCTCAGAGTTAGGAAAACAGCTCTTGCTGGGAGCAGAGGGTGAGGTGTGGAGGAAGTGACCTGTCACTTGTAGAAGTGGACACTCTTAGAGTGCTACTCATTCTGTTTTGTATCTGCCCCACCCTCTTCTCCCTGTCCTGGGTAGTGGTGTCTGAGTACAGGGCATCTCTGCAGCGGCGGATGAACCCTAAACAGGAAGAGTGTACCTTTGAGAGCCCGCTACTATTGGATGCTGGGGGGAAGGGTTCCCTGCTGGACAGCACACCTGCTCCCACGCCCACTGAGGTGAGTGCCTGGACCATCAGCAAGAGCTGGCTGCAGGCAGATGGGGGTCTTCCTCTTACCTACTTGTTCCTGCTGCATAGCTCCCAGATTGGCTTCTGTCCTCCTGCTTCCCAAGCCTGATCGCATCTGAAGTGCTTAATAATAAAGATAGCTACCCTGTGTGTTGTTGAGTGCTCATTCTGTGTTGATGCTGTTCTTATTGCCTTAGAGATAGCCTCATTGAGTGTAGGTTGTATTGAGAAAGATTATTCTCAATGGCAGAACAGAATGGTGAGGCATAGAGTGGCTTCCAGGCTTCACAGCTAGTAAGGGAGCCACCAGGTCCTTGGTTCCAGACCTCTGCTCTTGGCCACTGGAGGTCCAGCTCTGGTGCTATACCCATCACCCTGGCCCTGCGGGGTTAGAGATTGCTCTCTTTCCTGTGACTTCTTTTTTGTTAGAGTTGTGCCGTTTCCTCTGGGGCAGGAACAGGTATTTTGGGAGCCTGGGTCCTGGCTTGGGGAGGTAGCCCCATATTATGAAGAGCAGGACTGCCATCCATCTCCTTCTATCATGGACTCTTTGTTCCTAGGACCTCACCCCAGGCAGTGTGGAGGAGGCAGAGGAGGCTGAGCCAGATGAAGAATTCAAAGATGCCATTGAGGTGGGTGGCCCTTCCCCAGCACCCTCTACTGACCAGGCCAGAGGTTGGGTGATACTAAATAAAGTTGTGGGGGTTTTTGTTTGTTTTGTCTTAATTCTCTTGCATCCAAATGGAAAGCCAAAACGTGGCTTGAGCTGGGTAGAACTTACTGGTGGGAAGGGTACCATTGTCCATCCAATTAACACATTCCCCACCAGCTTGAGCCATTGGTACCACCAGTGGTTTAAGCTGGCAGGAATGTAACACATTCAAATCAGTTGCCAGACAGTGAGGCATATGATTAAGACCTGTCATGAGTGTGTTAAATGTCCTGGGCATTCAGGGCAAGGAGGGCTCTAAAAGTCCCCGGGAAGTGGCCTACTCTGTGGAGTTGTGTGGCTTCTTACTTTTACAGCAGACACTGGGCTCATCACTTTTGATATAGGGTGGCAGATTTGTAAGAGGCTGCTCCTCTGCATCTCTTTTTGCAGAGTTTGATAAGGTGTTCCTTGAGAGGCTGGAGAGAGTGGTTGTATGGCCAAGCTATAGGTCAGAAAATGTTCAACAGTCTTTCTTGATTTTAGGGCAATTCTGGTAGTTTGCAAAAGTGTTTGATTTGACTTATAAACTTAAAAAATTTTTTTTCTTTGAAGTCAGTGTTAATAAATGGGGAAATCTTAGAGTTATATTTTAGTTTCTCTGGTGTCCTGGTCTGCAGTGGTGAGTGTAGCCAAGGCACCACCAGCTCCTTTAGACCAGTCGCATGCTGCAGTTACGCGTAATGCCCTACACTCCCTGTCCTCTCTAGTCTGAGGCCTAGTGTCAGTTGCTGCTTATTACCACAACTGCGTTACTGCTTTCCTTAGAGTAATTTTGTTTCCTTGTATCTCTGTAAAGTGGTAAGTTGAGGTGTAAGCAGTGAGGCTCTTGTGAGTTTTTATCAGGTCTGTGGTTAACACCTGGCTTGCTTCACTCTTAGCTCAGCCTCATCTTGTGGGTGTTTAATTTTTGACTGCCATGGGCTTTTTCCAGGACTGATACATGATTCCAGGCTATGACTCTGGGGATAGTGGAGATAAGTATAGCAGGGGCTTTTAAGCATTTGTGTTCATGACCCACAGTGAGGAGCACATTTTGTATTTTGATGCAGTTCAGAGTTATGTATGCCTGCAAAATAGATAAAACTTTAGAAGAACACAAAGTTTCCTGAAAGATATTGTAAGGGATATTTTCTCCCTTATGGTCTGTTCTGTTTGAACAATGAAAAGTACATGTGAAAAGTACATAGAGCTTTCTCCGAACTTCTTCACTACCCAGCTCCTGGCAAGGAGAGCATCTATTATGCTCACCTCCGGGAAGTGTTCAGAGTGCTGAGTTCCCTTTTGCCTGGAGGCCTAGCACCTTCTTTCTCTTGCTATCTCTTTTCTGTGTTTTTTCCCTTTCTCCTCTGCACCTTGGGAGGCAGGAGACCCACTTGGTGGTGCTGGTAAGTAGGAATGCTGGTGAGGTGGGCAGGGGCGGGACTGGGGTGGGGGACAGTGGCGGAGCCAGCTGTGCTGCATCTTGTGGGGTCTGCTGTGTCCAGGTACCTCTGCATGCAGGTCCTAGCCCTTCCCAGTGGGGAACAGGACTGGAAAGAGCTATTTTCACAGGAGGACGATGAAGGCACCCCTTGCCCGGCAGAGGATGAGCTGGCTCTACAGGACAATGGATTCCTGAGCAAAAATGAGGTGTTGCGCATCAAGGTGTCACGACTCACAGAACGACTCCGAAAACGTTATCCTACCAACAACTTTGGTATGGCCAAGGGAGCACAGGGTTGGGGCAGGATGGGGTGGCCAGAAGGGAGTTGATGGTACTGGGGCTGGGGCTGGGGCTGGGGCTGGGGCTGGGGCACACTGGCTGTAGGAATAGAGTTTTATAATTACGGGCATGCACTTGTGACAAGAACAAGGAGCAAAGGGAAAAGAGCAAATACCCAGTGGAAGAGTTGAAGGAATGAGTGTGGGTTTCTTTTTGTCCCTGTCTTCTTGTTGAGCATTTACTCTTGGGAAGACGACTAAGTTTGTGAACTGCCATCCTAGGACTGCAGACAGCAGGTGGTGCAGCAGACTGGCTAAAAGAAGTGGAGTCTGACACTTGGTAGGAATCTTAGTCACTGGGTGCCCTTGAGGAAATTATTTCCAATCCTTGTGCTTCCATTTCTCTTCCGTAAAAGGAGTAATAGTTCTTACAGGGTTGTTCTAAGACTCACATGTGACAGTACTTGTTAAGGGCTAGCATGGGGCCCAGCTGTTTTGTTGATAGTGGTAGTAAGTGGGTACCATTAATACAGCAGGCCCTGGGCAATCCAGCTAGTTCCTGGGAGCCTGTCTTGATTTCTTTGATCCAGCTAGAAGGAATTTGGAGTAAATGGTATCTTCCTCCAGGCAATGATAAGGTCTTGTTACTTCTCTCAGCCAAATTTGTTGCTTGACCAATCGTTCATGTTACTGGGGTTCAGATAGGTCAAGGAAAGCAGCGTGGAGGAGGGTGGACTTGCCTTGGAGCGCATTTTGGAAATCTGGATCAAATCAAGAGCTCTGGAGCAGTGCCAGATCAAATCATGGTGGAACCCTAGAGTAGCTGGTGACCTAGCAGCTACTGTGGTCCTTGTACTGTGTGTTCTGGTGTGCAGTGAGTTCTAGGTCTGTGTCTGGGGTTTTTGTTAAGGAATTTGACCTAAGGCTACAGGGCCAGCTCTCCTGTGCCTGTGTTAAGCAAGCTGGTAGTTTTCTTAGGATTAGAGATCTAGATCTGCTATTTCCTGTTGCCATGTAAATGTCCCCAGCATTTTAGTTCCCTTTTTCATTAGTGCTGCCACTGGCTTCTGCAGAGCATCTGTGAGCTCATTGTACTGTACATATGTGAGTTTGGTCCTGGTGGTGGATGTGACAGGAGGCAGTTTTATGGGTCCAAGAGCAACCAGGTTCCAGTGGTCTCATGGGACACTATAAAAGAATGATTGTTTATGCATTTCAAATAAAGGTATTTAAATGTTCTCATTTTACAAATGAGTAATGTGAGATAGATTTGCCCAAAGACTTTGCCAACAAATTGTAGCTGTAGGCCTCAAATCTGGATCGTTTGATTTGGCTCCTGTGTTCTGTGTATCTCATGACCCTTACTCTCCAGTTTTCCTTTGCTTTGGTGTTATAGGTACTTTCTAGTACTGAGACACAATATCAACACCCACAAATTGAGGTGGAGAGGTTTATGTTAGCTCACATTTCAGTCCATGGTTGACTGCCACTAGGGCAGGACAGCTTGGCACTGGGGCATGGAGAAGGAGAGTTGCTCACAGTAGGGTAGACAGAAACCAGAGAGTGACTTAAAGGGAGGAGCTGGGTAGAAAAGTAAATCCTTTAGGCCATACCTGCAGTAACTACTTCAAAAAGCCCTGCCCTGTGAGTGCTTGAGGCTCTTTGGAGACATCTATATATAAACCATAACACCTGCTGTTTGCGGGTTCCTGTTTTGCAGAAAGGCCTATTGGGTTCCCTCAAGGATGGTAAAGGCAGAACATGTTTGTTACCGTAAGCCCAACTTTGCTCCTCATCCTTCAGACTCTTAATTTTCTCTCTCCTGATATGTTCTTGCACTCTGCTTCAAGGGCAGGGTTGGTGGGCTGCTTTGGGGACTGTCTTAATTCTGTTTGGGCTGCTTTGACAAAATACACTTCACTCTGTGTCTTGTAAACAACAGACATGTATCTGTTCTGGAGACTAGAAGTGCAAGATCAACGACCAGGGACTGGTGAAGGCCTGCTTCCTGGTTCATAGATACTTCCTGCTTCTTGCTGCCTTTTCAGATAGTAGGGTGGGCAAGGTAGTCCCTGACATCTCTAAGGGCACCAAACCCACCATGAGGTCCTACCAGTCACCTCCCAGAGTCCCCACTTTATAATATTGTTACTGTGCAGTTCAGGCTGGCCTAGAACTCACTTTGTAGCCTAGGCTGGCCTCAAACTCGAAGTGATCCTCATGCCTCAGCCTCTGGAGTTCTGAGATTACAGGTGTGCCATATCTGACTAGATTGGAGAGTAGGACCCAACATGTGAACTTTAGGGGTAACTGTAGCTGTTGCATTCTGCTTGTCAGTGGATAAAGGTATGCATTGGAAGAATGAAGACCAGTTATTAGGAGCTTTTCTGTGGCCTCCAAGTGGGTGAGTCCTGGTGATGAGGGCCCCTTCTGTCCTGGAGGCTACGTGACCATTCCCTTGGTAGATTCTCTAGAGCATTTGACTCTTACTACTTTCATTGTGTTGTTCACACATGGCTTCATCACATGGTTAATCAGCGTGGATGAGGCTGGGCCTTTGCTGAGACTGAGGACAGAAAGTGTGAGCACACATTGGGAAGAGTAGGGTTGCTCCTGTCCTCCATCTGCTATGTAAGCCTATCCCATAGCCCTCCTTGGCCCCAGGCCCCTGTGTTTTACAGGGCCCATGTCTTCTGGGTGCTAGGCCCTGGCTCTTAGAATTTGAGGAATTCCAGGGCATGGACCAGAGTGTCAGTGTTTGAGTAGCTCCTTTGCCCTGCCCCATTCTTCTGCACCCTTGCAAAGAGGAGGTAGGGGCAGACTGTCTTCCCCCAGCCCTGAGTGTAAAGGGGTGAGTCTTGCAGCTGGTTTCCTGCCCCATCAGTGGGCATGGCCTGTGCTTTTCTCTCCTTACATCTGCCAAGCCTTGTGACCTGATCAACAGCAATGAGTGTTTACCTCTAGTACCTCTGGTGGCCTCAGTCCTCCTGGCTTTTGCTATTTTTCTTTCCTCAATCCCAGAGAAGCTTCTGTAGCAAGAAGCGTGGGTGATTCTGGCAGGAAGGAACCACTTGGAGCTGTCAGTGTAGCTGCAGGGCTGTTGTGTGAAGCTGGAGCCCACCCTTTTAGCTGACCACACACATGATGTGGGAAACACAGTAGTGCTCCCTGAAGCTGGTCTTTTGGCTAGATTATAGCAGGCCTCAGACCCCCATGTCCAGAAACCTCCTTCCCTCTTTTCATCATCCTTATATTTCCCAAACCTTCTCCTAGCCGTCTTCTGAGTTCCATCATCTTGCCACAGAAGTTTTGTTGTCTTGCCATTTTTGGTTATTTAGGCAGAATCATTTTCATCTGTAGCCCTCCATCTTGCCTGCCATTCATAGTGCTTGAGCATTCTGACCTTTGGGTCTTCTTGGAAGGTGCTAGTTCCAACGTTTCTCTCTTAGAATTCTTTGACAGAAAGTAGGAGTCTTCATTTTGAGGAGACATTTTCTGTTTATCCTACAGATAGAATATTTGTAAGAGAAGGGGTCAGGTTGGACAGATTTCATTTGCAGATGCTGTGGTCTGGTTCTTGCCAGCCTTGCTGGGTTCCAAGGCGTAGATTCTCTGACTGCTCTTTGATTTCTGCTGGACCTGTGAGTTGGGCCACTAGGCGCAGGCAAGGGCCTGAGCCACTCATGATCTGGGGAGAGCGGTTCCCAGGCACCATCTGTCAGTTTTTTCTGCTAGCTCTGAATCTGGGTGCTGCTTCCTTACTTCTGTACCCAGCTGAGGAGCTGGGCTGGGCTGGTTCCCTTAGTGCCCCACTGAGAAGAGTGAGAAGCAGGTGAGGGTTGAGAGGCCTGGTCTGGGTCAAGACTGAACCGTTGCCTCTCTTTCTCAGGGAACTGTACAGGCTGCTCTTCCACTTTCTCAGTGCTGAAGAAGCGGGTAAGTCTCTGGAGAATATTTGCTGGGCAGTGTGCATGTGACCATGGGTCGTGGGGCAGTTGAAGGGAGTCATTGGTGAAGTTTGACTCCTCAGGTTATATGGGCCTGGCACCTGTGATTTGCTCAAGCAAGTACAGGACGTCTCTTCCTTGCTTGTGTGCCGCCCTCCTCAGCCTTCCTGTGTGGTGGTCCGGCTGTTCTGCCTCACCGGGGTGGGACTGGCCAGTGGAAAGGAGAGGGCTTCTGGTGCCTGCAGTTGGGACTATATCTGATGTGAACTTTGGTGCTTGTCCACAGCGGAGCTGCAGTAACTGTGGGAACAGCTTCTGCTCGCGGTGCTGCTCCTTCAAGGTGCCCAAGTCCTCCATGGGGGCCACAGGTGAGTGGTGCTGGCAGTAGGTCGGTGTGGAGCTTGGCTGCGTCCTGCCCCTCAAGTGGTGGCCACATTGTAGGGAAAAAGGCTGAAGTCCAGTCTAAGGCCTACATCCTATTTAACAAACAAAGAGCAAGCATTTGATATGGGCAAAGAATATGTATGCTGTATCTAGAATTAGGAAACACATTAGCAAGATGAGTACCTGTAAGTGCTTCTGAAAGTTAATGAACAGTGCTTGCCTCAGTCCTCAGAAACCGCAGTCCTCAGTTTGGTAACATTTTAAAATTTAAAGATAATTTCTTTTCTTTATGAAGGCTAAATATACTCATACACTTACGTAAGTAAAATATATAGGTGAGTGAAATGAAAGCGAATACTCCTCACGCGTTTCAGAGACAGTGGTTGGCTGTGGGTCCTCCCTGTCTCAAGCAGGGTGAATTGCATGCACATGTTTCTGAAAAACATGATCACTTGCTACTTTGTGATATGACAGTGAGCTCAAGTTTTTTTTTTTTCTGATCTTGCAAGTAACGTGGCTGTTAACTAGAAAATTTGAAATTACTGTACAGAAGAAGGAAAACAAATAATCGTGTAATCTTACCACCCAGAGATAACCACTGTTAAAATGTTTTGAGAAAATTTCCTCTGGTATTTTATTTAAAAAACACTTTTAAAGATGTTCTGATAATGTCAAAGGAATTTCTAATACATAGAGCATCTGGGAAAGGCTACACCTGGCGTCATTACCCAGAGGCCTCAGTTCCCCTGGAGGATGTGTCTGAGGGCAGGCTAGTGCTGCGCTGGGTCAGGGAGGGCGTAGCCTGGGAGGTGGGTGGTCTCTGGGTTTTAGTACTTGTGGCTATGAGCCAAAGGGCATAAAGAAGTATCTCATCAAGTTCTTCCTTTTCAGCCCCTGAAGCGCAAAGAGAGACTGTGTTTGTGTGCGCCTCATGTAACCAGACATTGAGCAAGTGAGAAGAAAGGCCAGGCTCCAATCGGAAGCAGTCCCGGGGCCAACAGTACACCCCTTCTCCCCTGTGACTTGTGCTGGGCACATCTGGCCTGACCATTCAGTAGGCTTCCCCTTCCTCCCCCTGTGTGCCACTCTGGTCCGAGCTGAGGGAGAGGTATCCCAAAGGGCCTGTGTGTTTTGCTCTGCCCTGGGTTAGTGAAGTGAAGTTGGCTGGACATGGAGCTAGGCCTGGCTCACCTGAGCTGTGATGATTGGGACCAATGTGGCCAGGCCTAGAGTTCCCAGGAGACCGGAGCTTGGGAAAAGTTCTTCCTCAGAGCACCAGCAAGACAGCGTAAGAAAGCTCCATTGCAGAGTGGACTAAGAATCTCAGCCTGTGTGTTGCCCTGGTGTCCCTGTCTCCACCTTGGCAGCTGAGGGACCTGCAAGTGCAGGGAAACCTTCCTGTGATCTGGTGCCACTTCTCCCTTCTCTGTCCTTTGTCCCATGCGGGGTGAGGTCAGATAAGCAGAGCAGAGGTCCAGAAGCTCTTGATCTTTAGGTTCCTGGGAAGCGTAGGATGTCACTTGGCTGGGTCCTAGACTGCAAGACTTCTTTGGGGTCCCCTTGGTCTCCATCTTTCTGATAATTTCATATTTCCTTTGGATGCTGAGGGTCTAGTGTCTTTCCCAACGCCATGAGCTGGCTCAGCACCCACCCCTAGCTGCCCTGCCTTTTCAAAATATTTATTTTATTTATTTGATGGTTCCTGGGAACATATACAGCACAGGGGACTGGGGTGAAGCATATGAGGGTCTTCTGCCTAGGACTCTTTCCTGGGGTCATAGGCTGCCTGGAACCTCAAGGCGTAAGTGGCTGAGGTGTTTTCACCCCCTAAGCATGGACTAGAGGCAGTATGGGGACAAGTGGCCACTCTAGGCCTGCTTTCTTGCCAGGCTAAGCTATTTGGTGAGGGCTTGGCAACTGGGCCCTGAAGGCACCAGGCTTAGGGGAATCAGGCAGGCTTCTGGATCCCCACTTTGCCTTGTTAGGAGATGAGGGTTAAGTTTTTTATGCTTATTTACACTGGGGAGTGAAAGGATCTCTGTGTATGGAAAATTACCAATAAAAAATTCCCAGCTCTTACTTTGCCACATTGTTGCTGTCTTGTTGGCTGTTGCTCTTCCAGGGCTGGAGGGCCTAATCTCCCTGCATTGCTGTTTGCAGGGCTGCCCTCACTTGCTGGCTCACTGTGGGGAAACCCTTTGAGCACCCTCGGGCGGCAGAGATGTGGGAGTGGCTGCCTCGTCTGGGTGCACGCTTGGGCTGAGAAGAGGAAAGCTGTGCCTTGCACACAACGCTCAGCATATGTTGGCCGAATTGACTGGAGGCTCTGTCTTGTGACCTCAGTCAGAGCTTGGGGTTGAGTTGGGACCAGAGTTTGACAAATGCTAAACAATGTGGGCTTTAGAATGACTTTAGTTAATCCTGAGAAAGCCAAAAAGGGTCAGAGCCCATGGAGGCTGAGAATCAGCAGGCAGGATTGACTGTGTCAATCCTGGGAGGTACACAGGCTCTTGAAATGGGAGGTACAAGCAGGGTCTTGAAAGTTGGGTGGGTTGGGTGTTTCCTGGGTGCCAGATGCTGTGGTAGCACCTTACATTATCTTGATGCCCACAACAAGCCTGTGAGGTGGGTACTGCTCTCTGCAGAACGGAGACTAGAAGTACCCAGCAGTAGCAGCAGCAGCGAGGTGGAGGCCCGCTGTGGTCTAGCTGCTCTCTGCTGTGCTCCAGCCTGGAGCAGTGCTGGTCATCGGTGCCCCCAGTCTTCCTGTGCTGTGCCCCTCATCTGTAAAGTGGGAGTGTGGGGACAGCGATGCTGGCCTTGGGCTGCTTTTCAGAGTCCGAGTGTATGTGAGGCATGATGCATGGCTTTGACATACAGTAGATCCTCAGTAGACAGTGACTGTGCTGCCATCCGGCAACTTTTGAGCAGAAAACAGACACCTCTTCCTGCCTGACTTAGAACGGTAATTTCCTTTCAAGCCCCAGAATAACTTTAGATTATGTTTCAGAGAAGAAGGTTAGGGAGAACCATGGGTATAGTTTGTAAAAGCAGTGTCAATATCATTTTATTTCTGGACAGAGGAAACAGTGCCTAATGATGAGGAACCCATTGTAACAGCAGGAGCTTGGGGCAGGCTGTGCTTACAGCCAGTGGGTTTCAGAGATGAGAGACAGGTTCCCTCTTTGGTGGTCGGTAGCCTCAGAAAGGACACCAGGGGACCCTGTCTTGTATCTTTGAGGTGTATGTGAGAGCAGGCGAGAAACGTCTTTTTTTTTTTTTTTCTTGAAACTATCTTGCTGTGTAGTCTGGGCTGGCCTTAAACTTGGAATTCTCCTGCCTCAGCTTCCTGAGTGAAGGGATATCATCTTCAGAGTTCAAGTCCTAACTGGAAGAATGAGGCTTCAGAGGGATTTGGCAGGATTGGATGGCACTTTCTAGCTGATTGGGATCAACAGTGTGAGAAGGACCTACACAGAGGATGATGCCCTGGGAGACAGACTATCCTATGTAGGATTGGATGTGTGATTTAAAGACATATTTCCATTTTGTCCTTATATGCCCAGTGGGAGGGGACAGGTAGCAGGTTCTGCTGCAGTCCTGGCACCTTCTGGGGGAGACCCACGATGCCTGCCTGCAACCTGCCTTGGCTTCTGTCTTCTGTTGTCTCCTTTGGTGGAATGAGTGCCTGGAGCTGGCAGTAGTTTCTGGGGTTTTGAGGATCGGTGGCCATTGGGGCTAAAACTAAATGAAGCTCCATCCTCTTGAGTCTCTGTGGAATCATCCCTGCTCCCATGAGAGACCTGCCCCATTGCTGTCTTATAGCTGGTGATCCTCAGGACACTAACACCCCCATTCATTGAGAACTGTGCCAGGCAGCACTTCACCTCACAAGTCCTGCAGCTATGAGTATTGCATGGTTAACTGCATTCAAGCACGGCCAGGTTAAGCAACCTGCCTGGGATCACAGACCTAGGAAGCCACTGTGAGGATGGGAGTTGTTGCAGATGCTGATAGATGCCTCATAAGAGAAACTGGAGGAATACCGCACTGCATTCCTGGCAGTCACCTCCTGTTCTGCCTGGTCCCCAGCCCAGGAGCTAGCCACTGAGCTGTAGAAGGGCTTATTCTCAAGCCTAGCCTTCCTCCTCTGTCTCAGCCCAGCCCCAGCCAAGTGGGCTCAGCCTCCAACAGAACAGAGGCAGCCTTGTGACAGGAGCCCCCTGCTTCTCCCAGCTCCCAGGAACCCCACCTCCTGGCTTGACACCCAGAGTGCAGCACATTCCATTCTCTGGCATGGCTGGGGGCTGGGGATTCTGGGCTTCCCTGGCTGCCAGCTTTCTTCCCAGCCCTAGCAGAGCCTACTGTCTGGGCTGGGACACTGGGTCCCAGCCACACACATTCCTGCAGCAGCTGCCCCCCACATTAGATTTCCCAAGTTGTGAACTTTAGTCAAGAGTATAGCCGACTAAACAGTTGTAGGATGTGAGCTTCCTTTGTAGGGACTTGGGCTTGGTGCTGGCGGGGAGTGGGGGTGTTAGGGAGGGGGCGGGCAGGCTGTCTGGGAGTGGGGAGAAAAGCCTCTGGCTCCTCTGCCTCCTTTGGGCCCCGGCAGAAGGACAGGAGTGGGGCTCCCGGAAGCAGGTCTGTAATGAGGGTGTGGCCATTTGCTCCCCCTGGGCTGTCCTCAGCTTTGTCTGTGGACAGTGGCTAGTAGTGCTGAAGAGTGGGAGGTCCCAGTCCCACACCTCCCTGCTCCTCACTCCCAGAGCAGTGGCCACCGTCATTTAAAGGCACTGACTCCAAGGGTTGTTGGGAATCACAGAGTATGAAGGTGTTTAGGGCTGCTGCCTACCCATCACTGGCCTTGATATGTATTGCTTGTGGGAATAGATGCCTTCTCTTTAGATTTTTTTAATTCAAAAAAGAGAAAAAAAAAAAAAAAACCAAAAAGCAAGAGACAAACACAACATCAATAAACCAAAAACAATATAGGCTTTCAAAACAAGATGATAGGAATTTAACAATGGTTGTTATATTGCACATTGTTATCTTCAGAAGGGTTGCTTAGGTTACCAAATATAGATATACTACTTATAGGAGTAGATCTAACTAACAGAATTAGGAGTATAGTCACCTTAGCTATCTTATGTATATATCTACAAATTTATATCTTTCCCCATTTCCCTTCCTCCTTCTTCACCCTATCCCAGTTAATAGTGACTTTTCCCTATGAGAAGTTTCTTACTCTTTAATTTTGGCTTACCCACTGATAGGATGTGCACTGTAGGTTTTTTTTTTTTAAATGAACTACTGAACTACTTTTTTTTTTTACTGAACTACTCTCCATGTAGTTCAGTCTGGTCTTGGGCTCACAATGTAGCCTGGGCTGGCCTTGAACTCATAGTGATCCTCTTGCCTCAGCCTCTCAAGTGCTGGAATCACAGGTGTGTGCCACCAGCCCAGGCTTAGGAGGTGTATTCTAAAGCAAGACCCCAAATGTTGATTCTGTTATTCCAGATTTTAGAGCAAATCCTCTTGCCTTTTCCCTGCCTTTCTGCCACTTGTGTACCTTGGTTAAGGAATCAGGATTTTACTGAGCACCTATTATATGTAGGTACTGCTAGGTGCCTGGAGGCTTGGGTTAATAAAAATATGAACAACTGCCTAACATTTTCTGAATTCTGTGCATTGTTTTTTTTTTTTTTCCCCGGTACCGGGGATCGAACTCATGACCATGTACTTGCAAGGCAGGCGCTTATGCTGCTGAGCTAAATCCCCAGCCCCCTGTGCATTGTTTCCAGATACATTCCATGCATTTAACTCTGAACACTCAGTGAGACATTTTACTCCACTTTGTAGCTGGCTGTGTTCTCAGTCACACAGTCATTAAGTCACAGGATATTTGGAAGCCAGAACGGAGCTCCACTGCATGTTCTCATCCCGACCCTGTGTGTCAGTCACCTGTCTCCAAATCCTTCCTGTTTTAGAACTCTGATGTTATACCCAGATGAAAAACTTGATTTCCTCTGCTGTCTTGCAATATGAAGAGAAAATGTGATGCCACTCTGGCCAGTGAACTAGCAGTGGAAATCTACCAGATGGAACTAGTTGGGAAATAACTGTTTTCCTGATCCAAGGGGCTAGAGACAGCTGATGTGTGGTTTTTGCTTTTAGCCCTTCCCCGCCTTGCTGCCTGGAATGTGGTTGGGAAATTGGGAGGAAGAGGCACCATCTTGTAACCACAAGAACAAAAGCCCTCCTTCGCCTACAGGGCGGGAAGACAGGAGTCTGGACACAGACCTCCCACCTGTCCGCTTCCAGAGCACTGCTCTTTCTGCTGTGTTCTTGAGGTCAGAGGCAGTCCTCTGACTCACTGGGCCCAGCTGCAGTCAGTCCCCACCAGCCAGGAGAGAGGACAGTGGAGCCAGCAGGGACTGGAGGGAAGGAAGGACAGGGCCCTTGCAGGGCCTCCTTAGTGTTTGGGATGGTACTTTTTGGTCCCAGAAAAGATTCGTGGGGAGGCTGGCAGAGCAGATATACAGACCAGACCTGGGATCCGGTGGGAAGGTGGCAGGGAGTCCCTGAGTGGCCTTCCTGGGGTGAGGGAGCCCTCTCCTCTCCTGTTGCACTGTGCATTGCTGCCAGCACCTGACAGAGGTCAGCATTGTGCTTCAGCCAGGGGTGGGCCGAGTCCTGTGTGCTCAGTGGAAAAATAATCCCTAGTCCTGGTTGACCAGAGAAGTGTCCATAAATATTTTGTTGGGGTAGGAGGCTGAGAGACAAGGGGCAGATTCAGGGAACTAGGTAGGCTGGGCAGTGTTTGGGCAGAGTGGGTGGCAGTGGCTTCCTTGGGTAAGAAGAAACCAAGAGGCTTCTTCTCTTGCTGGGGCCACCTGACTGCCCGAGGGTGATTTATGGGCAGGTGTCAGACCACCTGTTAGTGAGACCAGGATGCATGTGTGGGAACTTGGCTTTCCCGTTCTGGAGATGCCTCCTCCCCATTCCTCAGAGCTGACATGCTCCCAAGAGCTATGAAGCTGGGGTTACCCTCCTCTGGTGGCTCCTTTGTCTTGATAAGGACTAGCAGGCCTTGACTGGACTTGCCTCCCAGCTCCATCCCTTCTAGTAAGAAGAGACCTTCAGGGTGTTCTCTCTTCCTGCTCTGGGGACACCATCCCTATCCCTTAGCATCTGCCAAGGGCCTGGCAGGGAGCTTTTTCCTGGCACCAGCCCTTCCAAATGCTTGCCATGTGGGTGGCAGCTGTCTTTTTCACCTTTCAAGTCTTTGCCCATCTCTGCATCATCCACCTGAAGGTAGCCACCTCCATGTTCTCTGAGCTCACCAAAGACCTGAGCCCCTTTTGTCTTCCTGCTTCAAGTGTTACTTTACCTTGGTAGTGGTTTTCAACCATGGCTGCACATCACCCAGCATCCAAAAATATTTATTTCTGGCTCCTCGGCATTCTAATTGTGTCAGGGTGGGGCTTGGTGCTATATGAAAGTTCCCTCGATGATCTAATGCTCATGTGTTAAAATGCAAATTCTGAGCTGGGTGTGGTGGCTCAAACCTATAATTTTAGCATTTTTGGAATTTTCAGGGAAATTGCAAACTCTGTTTGGACCATTTAGTGGGACCTTATCAACATCAAAAAGGTTGGGGATGTAGCTCAGCGCAATTCGACTTGAGAGTCTGCATTTCTTAGTTCCCAGGCCATGCTGCCCCTGCTGCTGCTGCTGCTGCCCCCGGGGACCATACTTAGTGTAGTGCAGGTCTATGGCAGCTGACACCCACAGGTCAGACCTTTGCCCAGGGGTGTCTGAAAGCCCAAAGGGAGGAGTTATGCAGCTGAGGCTTTTGCCTTTCCAGGTGTAGTGCCCAGGGGCCTGGCCACTTCAGACTCCTTGGACCAGGCACTTCCCTTGAGGGAGGGATGCTCTCCCACTGTGGGAGTCTCCTGACTGGAGGCAGCAAGCTGAGGAACTCCGTGGCACCCTGTTTCTTCACAGGGGCACCCCTCACTTAGTGTTTGGGGTGTGAGGGTGACCCTTGCCATGTACTCTTGGGGAAGCCTACAGAAACAGAGGACTGCTTTTCTTAGGCATCCCAGGTTAGAGTCACAGCCTCATGCTAATAGAGCTCATAAGCTCCCTACCTCCTACTTCTTCAGAACCAGCTGGCAAACAAGTCATCAGTCCAAACCAACTTATTTTCTTTAATTAAAAACTTTTTAAAAAGTGAAAAAAACCAAGCCCTGCTTGTATCTGTCATCTAGAACCCATGGCTTCACTGCAGTAGTAATAATTTAGCACTGTTGGGGAAAAGGGAGATGCACCAGCTGAGGAAGGAGCCCCAAGAAGCAGCCCTTGGAGGGGAGGCTGGGCTGGAGGCCTGGGGTAGAGGACTCGGAGAGATGTGAATGCAGGAGGTATGGCTGGGGGGCAAGGTGACCCTAAGTCCTTTGTTTAGAGGGCACAAAAGGGGCAGCGGGGAGAACTGTCCCTCAAGTGGCTGAGCCCAACACCAAGACCCCTCTGTAAGGCACCCTCCCCCCCAGCAAAGCCAACCCCACTGTGCCCTTGGGAAGGCCCTCCTCAGGCTGCCTTCCACGCTCCCCTGGGCCCATCCCTGGGGCTTTGGTCACTAATAGCTCTGTAGGAAGCCACCTTCTGCCAGGGACTGGGTCAGCCCAGGAATGGGCACAAGGCCAGGTGGGCAGGGGCAGAGGGCAAGGCACACTGGCTGGGCGGGGTAGGGAGGAGTGTTCTTCAGTGGGACTCTGAGGCCCCGTAGAAGAAGGGATAGTAGAGGGAGCAGGGGTAGGAGAACATGAATTTGACTGCGAACTTCATCTCCTTATTCTTCTTGTCCCAGCGGTAGACAGCCATGAGCAGCAGCTGTCCATCCACCTTGCGGCCCATGACTAAGAAGCTGCCTGCCAGGCTGTCCAGCTGTGGGCAGGGGCAGCCTGCACCGTTCTTCATATGCAGTACCAGCTTCTTGGTGTCTTTGCGCTTCAAGGGACCTGGCTTGAGCAATTTCTTCTTCTTCTGGGCTCCTATCAACTTCCGGTCTCCGTTCTCTATCTTGATCTCCTTAATGCGCATTTTGATCACTGTGGGAAAGAGCAGAGGGGCAGCCCGGGGAGGATCAGGTCTCAGGACAGGGCATCCTTATTCTCCTCAGAGTTCAGGGAGCCTGCTGTGCTGTAGGGCTCAGAGGGGTGGGGCTTAGGACTTTCATGGACCTACACAGCTGTATACTCCAAGTACACGAGGGGAAGTGTGGTGTGGAGAGGGTGTGTCTTGCCTGAATTGCAGAACCTGGATTGAACAGTTCGGCCAGCTCTGAGCCCAGGGTGGGGATGCTGGAGGTGGGGCCGAGCACCTAGAGGAGGTCCTCCTGGAGGGAAGCTGGGCTTCGTGATCATGGGACCTGATTTTGATGGGGTTTCTGGCTATTGTGAGTAACCGGGCGTGGTGTGGGGGGCACATGTGTTCATATGGTGAGGGCATGGAGCGGTGGCGGGCTGCAGTCAGCAATGGGGAGGAGCAGCCTTCCTCCTGGATGCATTTGCTGATACCCACCATGACCAACCACATCACATCTGAGGCATGGAGCTGGGGAGGAATGCACATAGAGCAGCTGTGGATGAACGTACCACTGTCACCTTCATGTGCATGCGTGCATGCATGCGTGTGTGTGTGTGTGTGTGTGTGTGTGTGTGTGCGTGCGCACACAGGTAAGCGAGAGATACTGACACTGAGTGAGAAATGTATGTACGGTCTGCGAGGGTGTCTAGGTATGTGTAGAAATGAGTGTATAGGGGAGATGAAGGCAGGGCCCATGGCCACAGAATCATGGTCAGGTTACCCCATGGTGGCCAAAGGGTCTAATACAGTTGGGGACAGGAAGTCCTGGGCTAGGGGTAGGTGGGAATCCCCCAGGCTAGACTCTCCCTTCTTCAGGCCTTTGGCTCCCCACATGGATAAGAATTCAGGGAATGACACTGCCTCCCAGGGAAGGAAACTGCCCTAAAATGTCTTTCTTCTCCCTCCTCCCCACTTGTACACACACACACACACACACAATCTTGCAAAATAGCAACATTTTTTTCTAAGGAGGCTAATGACATGAAAGACTTCTGAAGAAAGGATTTACTATTATCTATTTTGCTTTTTTTTATTGACAGGGAAGATAAGACACAAAGCAGGGAACTGACTTAGCAAATACTACACTTGAACTTTGTGGCCCAGGAGTGAGCCAGGTCCTAGTTAGACTTGGTGTTGTTATCCCAGGAAGGGGAGACTAGGATGAAGCCGAGGGGACAGATGACCAGTGGAATGCCTGGCCAGAGCAACAGTGGGTACTCAGAGCAGAATACCCAAGGCTGGGGTCTCCACTTTTAGCTCCACTAGAGCCCCTCTCGCCTACCATGGTCCCTTCTCTCTGGGTTAAGCCTACATTCCCCAAAGAGACCATTCAGCAGGGGATGCCCCTCTGAAGACAGTGTCAAGGAAGACTACAGGAGCCCCAAGCAGAGCTGGTTTTTGAGGCCTATAGACCATGATCCTGAGAGGCTTCTGAAACCTCTGGGACGAGGTACAAAAAGTGGTTTTTCTGTTGAAGAGGGTTTACGGGATCATCAGATTCTAAAAGGACTGAAGCTTTTGGGGTCTACTGTGATGGATGTGGGTACCTGTGTTAGTCTGTCTAAGTGTCAAGAAAACTGCTGGGGCAGTGCCAGGGCATGGCCATGTGGCCCTCACTCACCAAAGTCACTGGAGCACATCTGCTCCATGAGGCCATCGGCGCTGTGCTCCATCTCACACTGGGCGCAGATCTTGGTCACTGAAGAGAGAAAGCACGCACAGAGTGGGCAGCAGTTGGTGAGGGGTTTGGAGTCCAAAGAGTCACTTACTGTGCAGAACTCCCGCATTGGCCAGCTACTCCCCCTCATGCCTCCAGGAAGAGATGAAGGAGATAATACCACTGAGAATGACTGTGACAATCACAAGAGACAAAAGTGTGCAGTGACAGTACTGCCCAGGTGGACACACTTACTGCCCCACAACCCTGGCAGCTGCAGCCATGACATGCACTGTCTTCTAAATTTTTTTTCTTTTGTACCAGAGATTGAACTCACAATCTTGCACTTGCCAGGCAGGCACTTACACCACTGAACTAAATCCACGGCCCTATCTTCTAAATTTTATCCCATCTAATTCTCAGCCTTTGAAGCAATTACTATTATTTCTCTTAGAGGAAGGGAAGCTTAGACCTAGAGTGGTCATCCAAGTCTGCAGAGCTCATGAGAACCCAGCTTAGGATGCAGTATTTGTGACTGTCCATGTAGCAGCAGGATGGGGTTGCTTGCAGATACTAGGCTGGAGGGTATACAGTGAAGGGCAGGGCTGGGACCTTGTAAACTGAAGAGCACTCCTCTCCAAGGTGAGCCAATAAGCACTGCCAGAACTTCTCATTTTCCAAGGGAAGCCAAGATTCTTCAATTTTATATGAAATATTCTGAGTGTTGTCTTTTGATCACAAAAACACTTTTCCAAAAAATGTTTCTGGTCCTCAGGCCAGTACCCAGCATTTGATCTGTGTTGACCTTCTCCTGTGCCTGCCTCTAGGTTGGTGCCTATCACTGGGGAAAGGGGACTCGTGGGCTGGTGGGGTGGACAGAGCTGGCCAAGTGGGATTTCTCAGAGTGTTAATGTCTGGCCTCCAAAAGAAACCAGAGAAGGAGCCTGCAGGGATCCTACCTGGGAACTATGGCTCTCTGCTTCTTTGGCTCTTTCTCTAGCTTGCAGCTGGACTCTAACCTGCAGGCTGGGGACTCTCCCTTTGTCCCCAGGCACAGGACAATCAGGGAAAGGGCATGGACTGGGGAGGGGTGGGCACACTGGAGGGAAGGTTAGCCTGGGTTGGGGTGAGGCAGGGTGGTGCTCGGTTGCTTTGAGGGGAGTAGGGAGGGCAGGAAAAGCAGTGGTGCTGTCTTTTGGGGGAGCAGAACTAGAGGCTCGTTGGTGCCCCATGTTAATGCCCAGGCAAGGCTGCCCTGGGTGTCACAGTTAATCCTCCTGCTGGGGCACTGGGTGACCAGCCAGCCTGGAAAGGAGTTACTTGGAGAGAAAGGGAAAGGGGGATCAGATCTGCGGGGACCAGCACGGTAAAGGGGAGGCTGACACCAAGCAGAAATCAGGAGTAATGGCACTGGTTGTGTGGCCAGGAGGCAGGATAGAGGCTCTCACAGGTTTCAGGAACCATGGAACCCAGAGGCTCAGAGAAGTTAAGTGGCTCCCCTAAGGGTTCCTCCCTAGGATTTCAGGCTGATCACTAAGCCTTACCCAGCTACTTAGTCCGGGAATCACAGAAGGTGGGGAAAGTTAGGGGTCCAAACTCCCAGTTCTTCCCTACCCCTGCTTCCGTCCCCAAGGTCCTAACACGGGATAGCAGTGGTTTTGGTCGGTGGGTTCCTAGGCATTCTTGAGCTGAAGAAGGCAATACAGTACTTAGAAGGAGCCCTAGGACACCAAGGATTCAGTGGCCTGGGAAGGCTGGTTTCGTGAGGGTTGGCATAGAGGAGAACCATGGGGATGTTTGGAGTGCAGGGTGGCACTGCTCTGGCAACCCAAGGGTTGGGGGTGGCAAAGCGACAGGAGGCTACTCCCGGGTTGCAGGGCAGAGTGAAGCGCCATGCATGTGTGCGTGCGTGCGTGTGTGTGTGTGTGTGCGTGCGTGTGTGCGTGTGTGTGTGTGCGCGCGTTTAAGGAGGGTGGCACAGAGCTGTGCTTGCCGTGCTGTGCTGCGGGGTTGGGGGCGGCACCTGTCCGGGTTTGGCTCGCGGGCGCCCAGTGCAATAGGGCGAGCAGGGGCGGCGACGCTACCTGGAGGCGCGGTGGCGGGCAAGTGCCCGAACTGCACAGCGATGCAGAGGTCGTTATCCAGAGGGAACTTGTGGCAGTGCAGCATCTCGGGCCAGGGGAAGCCGTAGGCCTCCATGAGCGGCGCGCAGCCGGCGCGCACGGCCTCGCACAGAGAGCGGCAGGGGTAGATGGGCCGGTCGAGGCACACGGGCGCGAAGAGCGAGCAGAGGAAGACCTGCGTGTCCGAGTGGCAGCGCTTGGCCAGCAGCGGCAGCCAGCTGCTCGCCTGCTGCTTCACCTCGGCTAGGCTCTCGTGCTCCAGCAGGTTGGGCAGTCGCATACGCTTGTAGCCCACTGTGTGGCAGAGCGGCAGGTCGGCGGGGATGTCGAGGCACTGAGGCGGCTTGGAGTAGAAGCGGCCGTGCAGCGGCTCGGCCTGCCAGCCGTAGTAGTCGTACTCCTCGCCGCGCGCGGGAGCACGGTGCAGGGCCCCCAGCAGCAGCGCCAGCGCCAGCGCCGCCGTACGCGCGACCCCCGCCGCTGCCCGCATGGCCGCGCTCGGCCCGGGAGCCCCTGCAGCCGCTGCGGAATGGCCCAAGTGGGTGGCAGCCTTCGCTCAGCTCCGTTCCGGGCGCTACAAGTGCTCAGGCGCCTCCCACCTCGGGGCTCCTGGCCTGGCCTCGCCGCGCGTCCCAGCCAATCTCGGCAGCCCGGCCCCGCCCGCTCCCGCGCTCCCGCCCAGCGCCCGGCAGTGCGCCCTTTCGGTTCGCTTTGCACCTCTGGCTGGTGCCCCTTCACCTCCCTGGCATTTCCCTGGCCCCTGGCCTTCTCCATCCGTCTCCCTTATCTTTTTTCCTCCTGTTCCTTTTCTCACTCACTTCTCTTGCTTATCACTCCGCCTGGGCGCTGCGTTTTCTCTTCCCTACACCTCGGTACTGTTCTCCTGGAGCACACCCGCAGGTCCAGGAAACAATGCGTTCATTGATTGAGCTCCTCCTGCCCAGTACGGCAGATCAGAGAGGGATAAGTGTTTTGTGCTGCGTGCGTGCGTGTGCGTGTGCGTGTGCGTGTGCGTGTGTGTGTGTGTGTGTAGGTAATTGTGGCTTCTATTTTACGATCGCTTACTAAGTTCCAGGGATGGTGCAAGGCACTGCACAACTTTATCAACGTCCGTGCTAATGATAACTAGTACTTAATGGGTACTAATCATGTGTCAAGAGTGCTCTAAGTGCATTGCCTGGATTACCTTATTTAATTCTGGTAGCGTGGCTACAAGGCAAGTAGGTGCTATTATCATCCCCATTTTACACACACAGATGTTGAGACCCAGAGAGATTAATCGAGGATGACAGCCAGCATTTGGACCCAGATAGTCTGGTTCTAGAGGCAGGAACCAGAAACAAGGAGGAGGTCTGGATTCTGATTCTGCAGGCCTAATGTCGGTACAGGGGTTCAGAGGGGTAAAGGGCTTAGTCCTAAACCACATAGCTCATTGCAGGGCCAGGATTTGAGTCCCAGGTGTGGGTCTCCAAAGGCCAGGGCATAACCACGGTGCCAAAAGATATAGATTTTATCCTGGAGTGGAAAACAATATTGGAGGAGGAAGGAATTGATATTGTCACCGAAGACGGAGGCATCAGAGAGGAGGTGGCTTTCAAGGATTTCAGGCTGGATGTCTTTCCTTCCTGTCTAGGCCATGCCTTCTTTGGTTCTCCTGAGACCGAATTGGAGGAAAGGCTGGTGGTACCAGGAGGGACTTTCTTAAGAGTCTTGTTGCACTCCTGCTTTTCCAGCCTCTGGTGGGAAGGGTCGGGGGGTGGGGGAGTGCAGTTCCTACTGCCTCTACCTTTCTAGGGCTCTCATTTTCTCTTGAGTTGGTCCTTGTAGGGGTGATGGAGAGGTCGGGGCTACTCCTTTCATCTCAGCTAATTGTCTGAACACCAATTGTGTGCAAAGCGTAGCATAGGGTCCAGGATGATCAAATTAGGTTCAGGTACAGCAATCTGGGACCTTTTCTTCCCCCTTCTGCCTTTCTGAATCCCTACCATTAAGAGGCTTTGCAGACAGGTGTCATGGTACATGCCTGTAATCCCAGCACTCAGGAGGCTGAGGCAGGAGGATCTCAAGTTTGAGAACAGCGTGGGCTGTTTAGTGAGACCCATCTCAAAACACCAAAAAACAACCAACCAAACAAAACTGTGGATGATCACTTGGGTGAATGACTGTTCTCTGCAGGGCCAGAGAGTGGTGTTCTGAAAGCCCCCTCAGACAGTCTGGCTCTAGCTCTGACAGTCTGGCTCTAGCTCTGACTTAGGGTTCAGAGCAGTAATTCTATTCCCTGGTCTCCAGATCCCCCCATCTATGGGGTGACAGACTTCTGTTCCCCAGGGGAGGTGTAGTCCTGGGCACTGTTGTGGGTAGTGGGGTCCCCAGGTGGTTGTGTAAGATGCTGGCTGGTTGTGCTATTTTTTGGTGTCCCAGGGCCCCACCTGGACAGCGCTGAGTTTTGTTCCTGCTGCTGCTTATGTCAAAACAACACACAGCAAGGCACATGTGAGTCTGTACCTGGCAGCCTCCTGGGAGCTCCCAGGGCAGTGAGACCTGGGCAGAGCAGGATGGGCAGTGTTTACATGGCAGCTCTGACTAGGACATGGACAGGTGGGGAGAGTGAGGCAGGAAGCCTTTCCTAGGAACTGAACCTGGCCAGGGCATTACCCTGGACAGCTGTCAGGAGCCTCCCTTTGTGGCCAGCCTGTCACCTGGGCTCTGCAGCAGTGGAAGAAGGCTGCTCTATGATGTGGTACCCTTCATGATGAGGTTGACCCAAGACCTCTTCAGCTGGTGGGACACCTGGCATGCTGAGCATCTGTCCATCCCGGGTGTCTACAGTCTGTCTAGGCACATGTTTCTCCAGGTGATGGAGGGACCATTTGTTCAAAAGAATGTGTACTAGTTGTTTGTTATGAGTAAGGTTCTGTGCAGATCCCTGCTCAGATGCCTCTTAGATCAATGACACCACTTTGATCAAATGTTGATTATGTCATCAAATCCTACGTTTTTCTACCTTTTTATTGTTTATTTCAATGGTTCTCTAAATAAGTCATGGCTCCCCAGGGGGACCTTTTCTGAAGGCCGACTGTACACACTTCAGTGATTTAAAGTACAAGATAAACCAATTTAAGGTAATAGAGTAAGAACAGTTTATTGATATGGTTTCAGAGTCTACATTACAGCAAGCACTTAAGAAATGGCCATGTGTTATTTTTTTGGGGATGTGGTCAAAGAAGAAAACCCACAATTATCTGGAACCCCCTTCCTTTTCTAACTACATTTTTGGGTGAGATCAGATTTTCTTGGTGTTCTTCAACTGAAACGTACGTGGCAACAAATTGAGTGCAGAGGCAGATATGAGAACCCAGCTGTCTTCTGTTAAGCTAGACATTAAAGAGATTTGCAAAAATGAAAAAGTGTGCCACTCTTTTTTCTAAATTCCCTTTGAAAAATATATTTTTCATAAAAATTTATTCATATTAACATATAATAATTGTTTAACCAAATTAATACTCTTATTTTTTTAAATTTAAATTTCAAGGCTGGTCCGAAGGCAGTGAGTTATCTCAATTGATGGTTCACAGTCAGTACAGATTGAACTCCTTGTTCTACTCTTTCCCCCCTTCTCACTACTGCACTTGACTAGTCTAAAAAAAAAATTTAAATTTCAAGCATGGTACATAACCACAGGTATAAATCTACATAAACAAAAGGCCTTTATGGGCCTTCAATTTTTAAGGGGACAGAGGTGTTTGAGACCAAAGTGAGACCTGCTAGACTACTTAGTCTATTTTTGAGAGACATGTATAAAATCTAGTTTGCATATGAGTTTGTTGATTTTTCCCTTTATCTGTCTCTGTCTCTGACTCTGTCTCTGCTTCTGTCCCTGTCTCTCTGTCTCTCTGTTTCTCTGTTGTCTCTTTGTCTGTCTCTGTCTCTCTCTCCTTCAGTACTGAGGATCAAACCCAGGTTGATATTGAACTTGGAATCCTCCTGTTTTAGGCTCTAAGAGGCCATCATACCCAGATTTTTTTTCCTTTAACCAGTTTTGCTTTATATACTTTGAAGCTATATTATTAGGAGCATAAAGCTTCATAATTTTTGTGTTTTCTGCTTGGGGTTCTACCTGTATGAAATATATTTCTTTGTTTCTTTTACTCCATGGGCGTTGGGAATAATTCTATGAACCAGTACTTAGCTAGGATTTGGTCACAGTTCCCTGTGACTAGTGCTATTTCAGAGCCAGGGGCCAGGTCTGCTCTGTTCAGGCCCCTTTAGAAGGTTCCTAGTAGAGGCACTGTGGAACAGGGGACCTGCATGAAGCTTCAGTTGTAAAGATCTCAGTTCTGCATTTTCAGTTTATTAGCAAGTACTTCTACACACTGAGTCTCAACTGCCTCATCTGCAAAATGGGCAAGACCACTTTACTCTGTGTTCTTCATGGGGTTAAGTTGTAGAGCAAATGAGATAATGAAAAAGTTTGGGCTGGCAGTGGTGGTGAGGCTGACACCCTTCCCATCCTCTGACCATGAGGAGGTCCTGCAGAATAGGCCTGCCTGCCTGCCTTGCGGAGTGGTAAGATGCGGTGGTGGCAGTGCCCCAGTGTCTGCTGAAGTCATCTGCCCTTTACAGCCTCAGGACTTCCCTTGCGACACAGTTCTTGTGATGGCTGCTGTGTGGAGTGTTCAGAAGAAAGCCCAGCGAGAGTAGTTTTTTTAATAAATAGGCTAAGGGCTGACAGGAACCAGTTATTCCTATGTGTCCCCTTCTCCTCATTTTCTATAAGAGGAACCCAAAACTTGGCCTTTGTGACTCTAGTCCTATGCTCTTCTGACCACATCTCCAGCCTGTTAGCTTTGTCAGTTACCCAGGTAACATCTGTCCTAGAGCTCCCAGCTGTGAAGGGACTCCTTGCTGGGCAGCTTGTGCTCTAGTGAGCGGTTCAGGTTCAGGCAGGGCTGCTGGGCTTTGGTGGGCACCTTGGTAGCACAGGGGGTTGCTGGGCACATGTTGCTGTGCAGTTCATGACCCAGGGAGCAGAAGCGGAGGCCAGGTTTGTTTTGGGGCTGGGACTGGCTGAGCTGTAGATGTGCCCGTGGCTGGAAGGCTGTCGGTGCAGAGAGGCAGAAGAATGCTGTGCTCTTCTTCCTGGGTCCCCAGCACCCCTGAGCGTCCCTAGATTGTAGCCAGTACGCAGCCCTGGCTAGACAGTGTCCAAGAGACATCAGTGTTCTCAAAGGGTGTGAGCTCTGGAGCCAGAAGGAGTTTAATTCTAGTGATCCCACTTGATCTGGGTTAGCTATTTTGCCTCTCTGTGCTTTAGCTTCTCATCTTTAAAACAGCGATCTTTATAACATTAATTTATTATGGGACCATTGAGAAGGATAGAGTTAATTTTAAAAATTACTTAGCCAGATGCACTTAGTAAGATGTATCCATAATTGTTAATTAATATTACTGAACCTTGGTGTGCCCATGTTCTTCGGTGACAGCAAATTCTGCAGCTCCTCACTCCGAGGTGCCCCTTATAGTCACCTTTTCTCTCCTCATTACCCTCCTCTCATCCCCCACCGCCCTCCAGTCATCATTTTCCACTCTGCAGAAGCTGAAGTGATCATTTCACACCCCA